TAAGTTTCAAAGTGAAACCACAGCAGCCAGCGGGGAAATGATTCCCATATGTCTTCACCTTTATTTCCAGATCCACCCAGTGACGCTCCTGAAGGGGACTTCCAACATTCACTTATTGATTTTTTTTGTAAAGTCACTGCTCTGTCAGTGCAGCAATGTGGACACTCCCTCCTTTCTCCTTTTGGATGCAGTCCAACATCGAATGCAATGTCTTCACATTGAGACACTGAACGTCACACGTCTAAAGGCTCTGTGATGAGAGGGATTCGGCTTTTTGCGGTTTTTGACGACTTGATCGTGAATTCAGTTATTTCCCAGGGTTACTCCACCGCTCACTCATCAACTCTATCCCTTTTTTTAAAAAGAAAAAAGAAGAAGCAAGAAACTGAGACGTTCCTCTTTTTTTTTGTTGCTGCGCTTCAGTAGGAGCTTCAGCCGCTGAGTTTCCTTTAAATTGTGATCCCTTAAATTTCACTTCAGTTGTTCAGTCTGGTGGTTGGATGAAAAGTAAACCGTTCCCTGTTTCATTACACGAGGAGGGCTCTCGCTTCTTGCTTCTTCAGCTCAGGTTTAAAAGGTGCTGAACAAAGACAGAGAAACAACAACAAAAAAAAGAGGTTAGACAGAAATCACTTCAAATCATGCAGCTTACACCACTGTGACTGTCAGATAATTTCTTGATTGCTGTGTGAGCACAGTGTGTCACTCCTTACCTCCCTCCCTGCTACTCAAACAACAGCTGACTCACTATATATATATATATCTTCACCATCCTGCTTTATCCTCCCCCTTCCAAGTCCTAAACCTTAGCTGGGTTAGCTGGGCATCAACAGCAGCAGCTGGAAGTCACAGCCTTTCCCCGACTGGCACGAAGCTAAATGGGGAAGTAAACCAGTGGAGTCTGGCTGGCTAACACTGGGACCGTTTTCCATGAAAACAGGAAAGGCTGCCGCTGCCTTTGAAAGTAATGATTGGGACTTTACTAATGCGAGCTAATCCAGCTCCTAACACTTATCTTCTGCGTGCAAAGGCAGGCACAACCATCGCCGTTTTGGAAAACCTGAAAGTTAATGATTATTTGCACATCAGCAAAGGTAAACACCATGTACAAGACAATTCAAGATCTTGTTGAGTCTTGTATCGGGCGTTGTTAAATTCGGCTTAGTTTAAGTCCCCCAAACTAAATTTATAATAAAAATATCACATTTGACAGACAGATTTCGTCTGCTGTGTGTGTGAGAGGTTCAACAAATCATTCACTACAAGTTTAATTTAGTGCATATTTGTATATCTATAGCAGACGAATTAAAGTGCAATAGCGACCGTTTGAGGAAAAAGTTCTTAATTCATTTAATATCGGGTAGGAACACTTGGCGACAGAGAAGCACATTTGTTTTGCCAACATTTTGAACGTAGTTTGGCGTCACATTCCTACGAACGCAAGACGGCATTAATCCGTCGCTACTGGTTTACCAGCACCACGGGTTCAACGGGAGATCGACATTAAATTGATGTCTACAAAAGGAGCAGCTGCAATGAGGCTAACCTTTATTAGTCTGGTTATAGATGAGCAGTTCACGCAACGAGGTTTGCGTTTGACACTGACGAACAACTCACCTTGTCCGACACGTTCTAGGTTTACGGGGACGTTGCGCCAAACCTCCACCGAAAATCTCTTACTTTTCGGATATTAACTGTAATAACTGTACGCTTCGTCTTTAAATTGTTATTTTGGACATGTGGACAACGACATAAAAGGGCGTTCTTCAATTCGGCACACACTTGCGGGATCGTCTGGCCGCAGAACTGCAGTTTATTTCAACTGCAACGTAAGGTTTCGCTTCTATAATAACACGCGTTGGTGGTGGTGTGAAAACAGCGAAATAAGTAAAATGTTTTGTAAGTGAAACGCTGTCTACTTCAACCGAAGTAGCAAAGCGAACATAACAAATGGTTAAAATGTGAATTCATGTGTGATAATACGCGTACCGCTGCTAGGAAGCGAGACAACTGTTAAACTTCCAGATTTTTGTATCCAGTCTGGAATGACGGGCCTGGACCCCGGCCTGCCTGCCTGCCTCCACACCAAGACGTCAGAAAACTTCTCACTCCTTAAACAAACTTTGAAGCAGACATTTATAAAACACCTACTTTGCCCATGTTGTTGTTGTTGTTCTGTCTGTGGATCATGTTTACAGATCCGCGGTGGAAGTTGTTGGGTTTTTTCTTTGTTGTGTGTGTGTCCCCGTCCCGGTGGAGTCCGCTAGATCACCGCTCCGGTCGGAACGTCTCCCCGCCGACCACACCTGACTGTCTGCAGCTGATGACCCACTCTCATCATCTGATGCTGCCTTCGCGTCATGTGGGAAAAACCTACACCGTATAAACGCTGTGCAGGGTTGCACCACTAGGTTGTTTCGTTTTTAGAAACCTTATTTGGTTCATGTAAGGTTACGCAAACAGTAAGGATAACGCCAAACAAAAGGCAACATGGTTTACATCTAATCAGAAATTATTTTTTATAGTGTCGACAAATGTTGTGAATCAGAAAGAGCTTTATTGACAAGTTAGGGCTTGACAATAAAACAATAATAATTATGATAAAAATTTCCTCAATAACCATATACAAAGTTTGATTTAGTTCATTTGAATCACGAATACATTTTTTTTTACTTATTTTGTTGTTTTGATTAAAAAAAAATAAAGATTTTACTTTCTTTGCTCATGCATATTTCATACTTGACATTAGGGCTGGGCATTAAAACACTAATGATTGTTCTCTTGACATAGTTTTCCTCAAAAACAATATAACAAATGTTCATTTAATTAGTTTGAATCACAAACAAATTAATATTTAATTTGAGGAACGGGGACTGAAAAAAGTTTTTACTTAATATTACTCATTTATTACTGATTTTTATCTTAAAAGGTTTGAATGTTCTGCCTCAAATTTGTTAAGTGATCCACTGTTTTCCATCAAGTGTTTGTTTTGACCATAAAGAAAAGTTTAAAAACCACAATTAACCATCTGGTTTCTTCAACTTTCACTCAGAAGCAAAAATCAGCCTTTCAACTGGAAAGAAATAATGATTTGACATTTATTGTGATAATTATCAATATTGAATTATATGAAATTGTTTATCCTGATAGGATTTTTGGCCATATCAACCAGCCCTATTGCCATGTAGTATTTTACAAAGATGAGGAATTTGCTCTGGTGATTAGGTGCCAGACATAAACAAACAGTTGACATCAGTAAGTGTAAAAATATATATAAATATTAAATAAACAGATGTGCAAAATATAAAAGAATAATATAACCGAGTGTAAAAGATAAAACAATGTGCATTACTCCGAATTTGTGTTGTGCAAACATATTAAAGGGGGAGAGGATTTGTATTTATATAGCTAGATACATAAAAATATAAAAATAATAAGGAATATGTGCAAAGTGGCAGTTTGTGCAGTGATATGCAAAAGTCAGTGAATCATTTCTTGAGAACTCTAGTGGTAGCGTATCAGCATTTCTAGATGGGGACAAGTCATGAAGGGCTGATGAAGTTGTTGCAAACATCAACTCAAGACAAGAACAAGATCCACAGCATTTCTAATCGAGTCTAGTTCCTTTCCAATAAAACTGATTCAGTTCACAAACAAAAATTATACTATAGTAATGAAAAAACTGCTTTGCCTTTGTCCAAGATTTGTGTGAAATTAAACTACCAGTAAAGACACACCTAACACTGATGTCGCCATCCCAGTTTCAGCATTACAACAGCAGCCAAAGCTGGCGTCCGGTCACACTTAACGTTGAGTAATCTTTTTGTCCACGGCCCGTTTCCACCCCCTCAAACAAAAATGCTTAGACAAGAAAGAAACACATTACTATCACAGTTTCAAAGTGAGTAAACTGATGTGTTGGAACAAACCCCAAAGAAAACTGTAATAATCTAAAATGCACGTTATATATCTAATAATATATTTTTATTATGTTATTAGATAGATAACGTGCATTTTAGTTACTCTGCTTCCTTAAATCATGCACAAGATTAGAGGAATGAACTCAGCAAATTACAAAGCTTTGTAATCTTCTCTCTGCTGTACTGATGGAGACAATATAATACATGAGGCTCAGTTGAGCAGCAACCTGATTTTTAAACCTGATTTTCACATTTAACTGACAGCATTGTGTATCTGCCAGTTTCAATAAATAATTTAAGCTATACATTATTTACACTGACATTAAAATCCAATATACCTTTAGATATTCTACATTTCTGTTATTGTAACCCCCATGAAGACCAAAAATATGAGTAAAACATGTCTAGAATAGTCAAAATGTTGACAATAAAGCCCAACAAATGTTCAAGAATAAAGTCAAAAGATTAAGAATAAAGTAAAAAAATGATGAGAATAAAGTCGAGTGTCGAGAATAAAGAAAAAGACCAGAATAAAAGTAAAAAACAAAACTGGAAACAAAGTAGAAATATCAAAATAAAGTAAAAAATGTTGAGAATAAAGTTCTAAATGTTACAAATTAAGTGTAAAGAACAAAGTCCAGATGTCGAGAATAAAGTCAAAATGACTCGTTTCCACTTTATTCTAGAATTGCAAAATAAAAATAAATCTTAATCCTCAATTTTTTCCCCCCTTAACATGGCCCTAAGACTCCGTTGTAGGTTCCCACTGAAGAGACAACTTCAAAAAAACACCTCACAACTAAAAAGTTTCCCAGCTGGCAAGTAGTTTTTAACAAATGGAGGAAAATCGTGTTTTTGTTGGGGACTACTTTCAGCGGCGGATGAATCCACATGTGGAGCTCTAGTGAGTGTTTGGGGCAGCAGGACGGTGTCTGAGGACTGAGTCAGAATAAACTGCAGTGCGCGTGTTCATGGTGATGAAGGAACACGTGACCCAGTTATATGTTGTCAAGATAAAACATCACCAATCCTTTAAGGTTTTATGTCACACAGTAACCAGATGGACAAATTCCACACAAATAAAATGTACAATTGCCTTTTATTATCATTAACCATTTTCACCAAAGAAATTACCCACGTTTCAGTTTCTGCTCACATTAAATGGAAATCGGATTATCTATTACATGATAACCAAAATACAGACAGCTCGTATCTACAGGTAGAACGCAACAAACATTACAAGTACAGAGGAACATTGTTAGAGTTACGTTTTACTTAACTGTGTATGCTTCTTATTCAGCTCATAAAAAGAAATGTACAAGCCAGCCTCTGGTCGTCGTAGTTGCTTAAAAAACAAACACTTTTGTTGATAACTGTGTGGTCGCTCTGAACCAAAATGGAGTCCCCTGACGTTCACAGGATATCTACTGACCGCTGGCGGTGGAGCCCGTGTTGTAGTCCATTTCAAACCAGCCAGAGGCGACCAGAGAAACGACACAAAAAAAAGAAGTGAAGAGTCTCCGGTTTTCAGCTCATTTCCTGCGTCTGCCGCATGACGAGCGGACCGGTGACTGCCTGCTGCCGCTCCTACCAGGGAGGCAGAAGGTTAAACAAAATCATCATTTATAATAGGGCTGCAACAATTAATCAATTAGTTGTCAACTATTAAATGAATCGCCAACCATTTTGATAATTAACTGATTTCAGCTTCTTAAATGTGAATATTTTCTGGTTTCTTTCCTCCTCTGTGACAGTTAACTGAATATCTTTGGACAAAACGAGACATTTGAGGACGTCATCTTGGGCTTTGGGAAAAACTGATAGTCATTTTCCACAATGACTATTTTTACATTTTACAAGGTACAACCAAGCAGGAAGCTTCCGGTCTGAGATGCAAAGTCAACAACAAAGTCCATAATACCTGCATTCTATTGAACGGCCAGCAGGGGGCGACTCTTCTGGTTGCAAAAAGAAGTCCGGTTCAATTATAAATAATAGTAAAATTAGGCTACTTCTTAGCACGTTCCTGATGAGTTTACGGTCTCAGTCGCTAGTTTCAAGTCTTCTTCAACACAACATGATGTTCATTTAGTAAATTATGACCTGTCAATCAGGCTAGAGTGAATCGTACCCACGACACTAAGTTTAACGAGCGCCGTCAAAAAAGCTTATTAGGAGTCGGCTGTTCACTTTCTCTGGTGAGTACATTTAGTTTTAAGCCGGTTGTTCGCTAGACAAAGTTATCAGCCCTGTTAAAATGACAGTTAAGGTAATTTACAGATGCACCTAGCTAAGCAAACTAGCTAGCTCCGCACACGGCCGTTAGCTCCTCGTCCGTATATGGTCAAGTCCGGTGCCGCTGGTTGCAAAAACTCAACATGGCGGCGCCCTATCGGCCAAACTCGAGGCTTCAACACGGTGGTCCACAAACCAACGGGTGACGTCACGATGACTACGTCCATTTCTTTTATACAGTCTATGAGAACAACGTACATTTATTGTCAGATGAGACGCGGTTTATAGTTATAGAAACTAAACTATTAATAGAGTAAATAATAAACAGATTATTTGATATTAAAAATAATCGTTAGTTCAGTACTAAATGTCCTGTTCATCAGTGAGCAAGTGATGCTGGTGCACCCTGAGCTTTTATAAATTAGGGCTACTTTAATTGTATCGCACATTTTAACAAGCGCATGTTCTGTGCAAGGTAGGATAAAGAGATTAACATACATTTAAATGGAGAAATGTGTTGTAGGTGTATTAAAAGAGCAGCAGTTCGAGACACTTTACCCAGGAGTCAGTATGTTTATATGCCCTCAAGTGTCTAATTGAATAGCTAGAAATTAGGACGATGCAGAAACATGAGAGGCCTGGCTTTTTTTTCTACATATTTTCTTTCTTTCTTCTTGTATTGAAACATTTGTCAACATTTTTATGTCATCTATTAATGACAAAGTTTGACATCCATAAGTAAAGCTGGAAACCCCCGGAGAAAGTGCAGTGTTCGCTGACTAGACATCTGGGTACATGCCAGGACGAAAAGCTGCCACAGTAAGATAACCGCCAATAAATACAGGCATTTCTATAAATTCACCAGTAAAATTCAGCGGAGATGCGTGTTAAGGGTCCTATGGGTTTCTAGTTAAAGCTGCTGTCACTCTCTTTCCTGTTTAAATGTCACGCAGTGGCTACAGACCTGCGAGGGGCCGAGGGCGACGGTGCTCTCATGTACCTTGGAGGAGAATAGCTGAGTGAGCGAGAATCTCTCAGCGAATCAGCAGGCACCCTCCCGGACTTGGCAGGGCTGTGAGGAAAAACACAATCAGACACCAGCACACTGCTGCAGAGCTCTGCTTTGGTGCGGTGTAGTTTCACAAAAATCTCAAAACAACAAGTTGGTACGAAAGAAATTTATATTGTTAAAAAGAAAAGATTTCATTATAATTCAATACATGTTGAACAATGAGGTAGGAAAAAGCAGCATGATGGTGAAACGCTGCTGATATTAGAACTGCTGACTCATGGCCGATCAATACGACTACAAATATACCAAAAGTTAGGGCTGGGCGATCGGGCCAAAAATGTTATCGCGATAAAAACATTTCATTCGATAATTATCACGATATATGTCACATCATTTTTTCTTTCAAGTTTAAAGGCTGATTTTTGCTCCTGAGTGAAAACTGAAGAAACCAGATGGTTAATTCTGTGGTTAAACTTTTCTTTATGGTCGGAACGTGATAAACACTTGATGCCAAACAGTGGATCACTTCACAAATCTGAGGTAGAACATTCAAAACTATTATGATCAAATCTTTTTCAACAAATATGATTAGTAAATCTTTTTTCAGTCCCTCTTCCTCAACAAAATAAATATTTTAATAGAAAAATTGAGTGCTAATTTGGCCATGACACAAATTAATTCAACCAAATATTTATTGAACATTTATTATATTGTTATTGAGGAAAACTATATTATTATATATTGCGATAATCATCATTAGTATTATTGCCCAGCCCTACTAGAAGTGCTCCAATTCAAAAAGTAAAAAAAATTATTCCTTGTGCCTTTTAAAACTCTGCTCTTCCATCCAGTCACACTGAGCTGGATGTTAAGTGAGTCAGAAAGCAAAAACACAAGAGCAGGCAGACTAATAAAAATCTGATAATAATGAATCGGCTGATAATTTATTAACATAAACCCATAAACATCCATAAGAATCTTACATTTAGTTTTTAAAGACTTGAGATCAAAACAAGTATGAAATCGTTAGGTGGTTAATTGTTTTCAATAAGAGGAAATCCAAATAACATAACTTTTGTACAAATAACTGTCACTGGTTGTGTGTGGGCTGGTATCATCAATACAACTGTTGCGCCTTGGTCTAGTTCAGCAATCAATTTGTTTTAAATGTGATCAATGTAAATAAAAGATTTAACTTCCACTTTGTGGTCACATGGTTTTATATGAGCAAACAGTCTTAAGGGCCAGATATAACATCACTCATCCTCTCCATGCTGAGCTGAGGAAGCTCAGGAGCACTTTCAGCTACAGACTGATCCAGCCCCGAGCCTCAAAGCGCTGAGGAGGCTCATTAGTGCCATATGCCATCAGACTCGCCCAGTACATCCCACCTCCACAACGCCGTCCCACACAGACGGTTCTGGCACGTGGGCCGTATATTTTGTAAAACTTTATGCTCATGTGAAACTTGAAACTATTTTTTTCAATTTTGCACAATTCTGCAACAATATGAAAAATGTTTTCATGAGTTAAATGTTTCTTTAATGCGGAAAAGAGTGGGTTTGTGCGGTTGACGTGGGATACCACCGATATAGCGACAGAATTAACAGATTTTTTATATTTTGATCTTAAGAACGCACATCAGATGATCTAGTCTAGGTTGGCTGTTGCGCGTTTCTGATCAGTGGCTCCCTGATTTACAATTTGAGATTTTGTCTGTAACCCACACTAGAGGATCATTAGGGTCGATAATCTGTCCAGACCAGCCTCGTCTAGGGAGCGACCCCGATTGTCAGGAAGGTGAATCGGACCCAGAATCTGCCCAATTATCCTCCAGTGTGCGGACAGCGTTACGAAAGTGCAATTTATACTTCTGTGTCAAATCGACAGCATAGCCTCGGTGTAGCTACGCACGTAGACCCTACGCAGGAGTATAAATCAAGCTTTACAAACCAGAAATTGATCAGTAATGCTTCGCCTTGTGAGTGATCAAGTTATCTGTTCTTTTCACCTCTTTTTCTTAATTTCCTTTTCATTCTCAGATGATGAAGACGAGGAAGGAGAGCTCTGAGCTTTGTCCGTCTTCCTATGAAAAAGAAAACAGTAAAAAGGGAAATTATTAATAAATATTAAGTAGTTAACGATGAACAAGTTTTATTATTTCATCATTAGAAAGTAAAATGTTCTTTGTGTTCATGTATCTCACACAGCTCAACTCTCCCCCGTCTCCTGCTTACCCTTTTCCTTGCTCAACTTCAGAGTCAGAACTGTCTGAAGAGGAGGACGAAGAGGAGGACGAAGAGGACGACGACGATGAGGAAGAGGAGCTGGAGCTGCTACTCCTGTTGGCTTTCTTGTTTGCATTTGCCTCCTTCCCGTTCACCGTTTGGTGTGACGGTTGAGGGGGTGCCGCTGGTGACACATGTTTGGTTTCTGGTTGGCCACCAGCCGGAGACCTTCTGGGGGCCACGTCATGGCGCCTGGGGTCCGCCTGGGAGCCTCCTCTACCTGAGGTTGGAACGTGAGATGCGGGTCTGGAAGGGCCCTGAGAAGAAGAGGAACGACTTTTCTGCTCTCGGTCTTCTCTCTTCTCGTCCTCTCGCTCGGTTCTTCTGTCTCTCTCTGGAAGTGCTTTTGTGTCTTTCCTCTCTGGGGGAGGTGAAGGTGAGGACGAGGAGGAAGAGGAGGAGCTGGAGGAGGATGAGGATGACGAGGACCTGCGGGGTTGGGGAACATCTTTTTGGTGCAGGCGCTCTTTCTCCCTTTGTCTCTCTTGTTCTACCTCCCTCTGCCGAATCCTCTCTTGTTCCCTTTCTCTCGCTCTTTCTCTGGAGAGGGAGCGGCTGCTCCTCCTTCGCTGTGGAGGAGAGCGGCGGGACCTGGGAGGAGGAAAATATACTTTTCAGTTCAGCCATTAAAATTTGCCCTTATGGAATCAGTAAATGATAATGTTGTTAACATCTAGGACTTAATCAATGATCTACAATCTTTGTTTCTAAAAAAAATAAAATCGATGCTCCTCATAACTTTATTTTTATCTTCGCATATACAGGTGCTGGTCATATAATTAGATCATCATCAAAAAGTTGATTTATTTCAGTAATTCCATTAAAAAAGTGAAACTTGGATATTATAATCCTTCATTACACACAGACTGATATATTGAAAATCCCAAATTCAGTATCTCCGCAAATCTGAATATTACTTAAGACCAATACAAAAAAAGGATTTTTAGAAATGTTGGCCAAATGAAAAGTATGAGCATGTACAGCACTCAATACTTAGTTGGGGCTCCTTCTTTCTGAATTACTGCAGCAATGCGGCGTGGCATGGAGTCCATCAGTCTGTGGCACTGCTCAAGTGTTATAAGAGCCCAGGTTGCTCTGATAGTGGCCTTCAGCTCTTCTGCATTGTTGGGTCTGGCGTATCGCATCTTCTTCTTCACAATACCCCATAGATTTTCTATAGGGTTAAGGTCAGGCGAGTTTATAAAAATGCTCTGTACTTGTATAGCGCCCATTCACCATTCACTCACTCACTGAGCCTAAGTGCTCAAACAGAAACTAACATTCACGCACATTCATACACACGCGGAACAGCCGCCAGGGGCAATTCGGTGTTCAGTATCTTGCCCAAGGACACTTGCGAAATGCAATGAGCCACAGCCGCCCCACTTTTGAGTTTTCTGGCCAATTAAGAACAGGGATACCATGGTCCTTAAACCAGGTACTGGTAGCTTTGGCACAGTGTGCAGGTGCCAAGTCCTGTTGGAAAATGAAATCTGCATCTCCATAAAGTTGGTCAGCAGCTGGAAGCATGAAGTGCTCTATAACTTCCTGGTAGACGGCTACGTTGACCTTTGACCTCAGAAAACACAGTGGACCAACACCAGCAGATGACATGACACCCAAACCATCACTGACTGTGGAAACTTTACACTGGACTTCAAGCAACGTGGATTCTGTGCCTCTCCTCTCTTCCTCCAGACTCTGGGACCTTGATTTCCAAAGGAAATGCAAAATTTACTTTCATCAGAGAACATAACTTTGGACCACTCAGCAGCAGTCCAGTCCTTTTTGTCTTTAGCCCAGACAAGACGCTTTTGACGCTGTGTCGTGTTCAAGAGTGGCTTGACACAAGGAAGGCGACAGCTGAAAACCATGTCTTGCATACGTCTGTGCGTGGTGGTTCTTGAAGCACTGACTCCAGCTGCAGTCCACTCTTTGTGAATCTCCCCCACATTTTTGAAGGGGTTTTGTTTCACAATCCTCTCCAGGGTGCAGTTATCCCTATTGCTTGTACACTTTTCTACCACATCTTTTCCTTCCCTTCGCCTCTCTATTAATGTGCTTGGACACAGAGCTCTGTGAACAGCCAGCCTCTTTAGCAATGACCCTCCTTGTGCAAGGTGTCAATGGTCGTCTTTTGGACAGCTGTCAAGTCAGCAGTCTTCCCCATGATTATGTAGCCTACAGAACTAGACTGAGAGACCATTTAAAGGCCTTTGCAGGTGTTTTGGGTTAATTAGCTGATTAGAGTGTGGCACCAGGTGTCTTCAATATTGAACCTTTTCACAATATTCTAATTTTCTGAGATACTGATTTTGGGGTTTTTATTAGTTGTCAGTTATAATCATCAAAATTAAAAGGAATGAACACTTGAAATATATCAGTCTGTGTGGAATTAATCATATACATTATACAAGTTTCACTTTCTGAATGGAATTACTGAAATAAATCAACTTTTTGATGATATTCTAATTATATGACCAGCACCTGTATATTTAAAAACACAAGAAACATTTTTTTTATCTTATAAGTTGTCTGTCTACCTAAATACATCCAGCATTCATAAATAAATACGTTTATGTATTGACGTAAAAAAGTTTTTCGTCTAAGGTGCAAAATGCTAAACTCGTTTAAACAGAAAAAAAACAACTGTCGTTTAAAGAAACATTGAAATATAGGTTTTACTTTTTTTTCCCTTTTGTAGCTTCTTGCAATATTAAAAGGTCAGTAAATGTAAGTGATATTTACTGAAGGTTTAAATTTTTTTTTTACCACTTCCATGTGGCATTAAGGGCCCCCAACAGGTTACAGTTGTGAAGGCCAAACCATCGTTTCATAAAATTCGCCCCATTTACTCTAACTCGGACTATGGCTGAAACTATATTCAGTCTATTTTATAGACTAGTTTACTCTAAAATGTCAGCAAACTGCAAAAAAAACCCTGTCGATCAGTGTTTCCCAAAGCCGGAGAGGACGCTCTCAAATGTCTCATTTTGTCAATAACCCAGTTAATCCCCAATTATCAAAACAGTTTTTAATTAATTTCATAGTTAACAGCTAATAAGTGATTCTATTAATCTTCGCAGCCCTGACTCAGACATGGCCGTCTTTAAGGGGGACAGGTGTTAAGACAGCAGAGACCAGCATGTGTACGTTCTCCTGTTACCTGCCGGGGGGCTTCGCCTCCTCGGGCTTCTGGACCTGCTTCTCCTGGCGATCCGCTCGCGTTCTCTGTCCTTCTCCCTCTCCCTGTTCCTCTCCTTCTCTCTGTCCCGCTGCCTCTCTCTCTCCCGGTCTGACCAGGCCGGAGGAGGAGAAGCTCTCCTGGATCGCGGCAGCGGTTCCTGATACTGCCTCGGTGGAGTTCTACGGGCCGGGGAGGAGATGGAGGTTTTCTGGGGCGGAGAGCGCGACCTCCTGGCTGGAGGGCTAGACCTCACCGGCCTCCTGGGTGCCTCCCTCTCCCTCCCTCTGTCCCTTTCCCCGACTTTCACCTCCACCCTGGTTCTCTCTGCTTTGACCGGAGGGGGGGAGGCGTTCCTGTTGCTGCTTCTGCTGCCGTCCGCTCTGTTGGACGGGGAAGGAGGCGGACTGGGGCTGTCCATCTGTGTGGGGCTGTATCGCTCCTGACCTTTTGTCCGGGACGGGTAACTCTCTGCGGGAGCTCTGTGAGGCGGTCTCTCCCTCTCATGTTTGTCTCCTCCGGCTTCTCTCTCCTTCTGGACTCGTCGAGGTCCGTCGCTCTCTGGAGCAGAGGCCGGGCTTTCCTTTTTACCGTTGGCTATATACCTCTGAACGGCAGCCCCAATAACGGACGGTGCACCTTTTTCTTTCCCTGCTGACCCCGCCTCCTTCGGCTTGCCCTCATCTTCAGAGGATGAGGACGAAGAGGAAGATGAAGATGACGAGGAGGACGAGGAGCTGTCACTGTCACTACCGCTGCTGCTGCTGCTACTGCTGCTGCTGCTACCACTGCTGCTGCTGCTCTCTCTTCTCTTCTCGGCCGGTTTCTCCTTCCTCGGAGGGCTTCTCGTCTTCTCCTGGCTCTTGTTTATCTCCGCTCTTCTGCCTTTCTCCGCACCCTCGTCTCTCTTTCTGCCGCCTTCCTGACCTCGCTCTCTGTCTTGTTCGCTCTGCTTGTTCAGATGCCTCTCCCTCTCTTTGGTGCTCTCCCTGTCCTGGTCTCTCCTCCTCTCCTCCTCCCTTTGGCGCCCGTTGGTGACGGGTGATCGGGAGGCCGGTGACGGGGGATCTCTTCTTCTGTCATTTTTCTGTTGGGAAGGAGATGTCTCTCTCTCCTGTCTCCTTCCGGTGTCTTTCCTGTTGTCCCTTTCATTTGGTGGCCTCGACAGCAGATCTCTCTCGGTCCTGCGCTCCCTCTCTCCACTCCTCTCCTTCTCAGGGGGAGGAGAGGGAGATGAGGAGTCATGTCTTATCTTTTTGTCCTGATTATTCCTATCTTTCTCCCGCTCAGTGTCTCTGCTCTTTTCAATCCTAGTCTCCTGTTTAGGTGGAGGAGAAGGAGATGAAGAGGACGAGGAGGAGGAGGAGGAGGAGGACGAGGACGAGTCATGTCGGGTCCTCTGAGGAACACTCTCCTTTCCTCTCTCCCTCTTTTCTATGCTCCTTGAACGCCTCCCTTTCTCCACGTCTCTGCTCCTGGAACGCCTCCCTTTCTCCACGTCTCTGCTCCTGGAACGCCTCCCTTTCTCCACGTCTCTGCTCCTGGAACGCCTCCCTTTCTCCACGTCTCTGCTCCTCGAACGCCTCCCTTTAACCACGTCTCTGCTCCTCGAACGCCTCCCTTTAACCACGTCTCTGCTCCTCGAACGCCTCCCTTTAACCACTTCTCTGCTCCTCGAACGCCTCCCTTTAACCACTTCTCTGCTCCTGGAACGCCTCCCTTTCTCCATCTCTCTGCTCCTCGAACGCCTCCCTCTCTGCCTCTCATTTTCTCTGCTCCTTGACCGCCTCCCTTTCTCCATCTCTCTGCTTCTGGAGCGCCTCCCTCTCTCCACGTCTCTGCTCCTTGAACGCCTCCCTCTCTCCACGTCTCTGCTCCTTGAACGCCTCCCTTTCTCCATCTCTCTGCTTCTGGAGCGCCTCCCTCTCTGCCTCTCGTTTTCTCTGCTCCTTGAACGCCTCCCTTTTCCCATTTCTCTGCTCCTCGATCGCCTTCCTTTATCCATCTCTCTGCTTCTGGATCGCTTTACCCTCTCTCTCTCCTTTTCTTTGCTTCGTGAACGCCTCCCTTTCTCCCTCTCGTTTTCTATGCTCCTTGAACGCCTCCTTTTCTCCACCTCTCTGCTTCTTGAGCGCCTCCCTTCCACACTCTCCTTCTGTTTGCTTCTGGACCTCGTCCCTTTCTCCCTCTCCATGATTTTTCCTGTCTGTGGTGGTGGAGAAGGGGATGAAGAGTCATGTCTCCTCTTGGCGGAGGTCTTCTCCACCTCACTCAGTCGCTCTTTTTCTCTCTCAAGATTGGGCCTCTTCTAAAATGACAGAAAAAAGATTTGCTGGTGTTATTTTACACACAATTTTAAGTTCACAATAGAGTAAAATACAGATACAGGATCAAATATAACAGTTAAAGATTAGTTTAGGATCCTATAAGCAAAAGAAAACATATCCTAATGAAAGTTTCTGAAAGTGTTTAGTGCAACATCCTCACCCCTTCGCCTCCCTGATGATGTGGGCTGTGCTCCTCATAGCCTCGTCTCCTCCTGTCTGGCGATCTCCCTTTTCTACCTTCATCAGCTTTTCTCGCGGTTTGGTCCTGCTGACGTGATCTCACTGGAGCCGGAGACTGGCTGATGACATCATAGGAAAAAATAAATGCACATTACTGAGACGCTTCTCTCTGGAAAATTGATTTTTGACTTGCCCAAAACTAGTGTGTACAAAGTGCCATCCAAAAAGTGTTTATAGCCGTCCCAACTGGACAGACTGCTTTCACAGAGTGGGGGCTAAATGACAGAAGTTGGTCTACATGTTCTGAAGTATAGAAATACATTTGATGAACGTTATTAATGAAAGATTATGAACTTCTTTGCCAGTTAAAGAGCTGGCTGAGCTAGTGCTGGAGATTGTTGTTCAATTGTGCTAACCTCGATTCTACAGGGAAGCGCGTCTGCCTCCGTCCTCTGCATGGCTTCATACCCCAGCGGAGAGATTTGTTTCATGATGATGTTTGTTTTTGTGTTTCTACCGTGGGTAAGTAGATTACATAGTTAAATTTTTTGGTCTGTTTTACTTGTGTATATTACTAATATAGGATCAAAATATTGACAGGATTCTCCATGCTGTGTCTTATTTCCTGCCTACTTTGTGCTTTTCGACACGCCTTCTGTTAAAAACAGACGAGCTGTGTTTTCTCCACGAAGCAGAGGTGAAACACACTGTGGCCCATCTGGCTGCCTTAAAAGGATGGAATACAAGGGCCACAATCTGCTCCAGCAGTAACAATAGTCTCCGTTTAAAGGATAAACAGAATGCAGATTCTCAATGAAATAAATATTTTCATCATCACCGTCATACCTGTGAGCAGAGCTGGAGGAGACACTCCTGTGCCGTGCTGCTTTTGCTTTTGGAGGACTCAAACTTTCACTCTTCTTTCTTTTATTCTCTGAGACCTTCTGCTTCTCATCTGAGGAACTGCGAGTGGGTGACAGAAATGTACACATGAAGCTGCGCATAATCCCATTCATTCAGAACTCCTCAAATACTACAAATGATCACTGGTTTGTTAGGAATGTAGTAAAAGCAGATTTACAATATATTTTATTCAAGAAAAACTCAGTGTCTTTCCATTAAACTTTTCTATTTACAGTTTGAACTGTGCAACAATGCTCTGCTGATTGTTCTTGAGGACAGATTGAGAGAAACACCTACCTGTCGTCTTCTTCCTCGTCTTCTGATGACTCACTGAAAAACACATTTTCCAGTCAATAATCAGTGAATAAGTGAAATGATTAAATGAAACGTAAGACAAGAACCCCGTGATGGGATACCGTTTCTTTTTCTTCTTTTTGGATTTCTTCTTCTCTCGTCGGGGAGACGGGGAGCAACTCTCTGAGCTGCTGACAGAAGGAACAAATAACAGTCAGACACTTTCTTCACCGTCAGGAGCTTTTCTGCTCTTATCGAGTTTTATTTTCTCACCTGTCTCTGTTCTTGTTTTTCTTTTTCTTCTTCCGGCTGCGCTTCTTGGGAGGAGATTCTGAATTATCTGAATCTTCCACCAACCTGAGAGAGCAACAGACCTTGAGTCAGGGACAGAAATAATGCTGGGGGGGTGATGATTGTACATTACACTGTTGTTTAAGACAATTTTCCAGAGCAGGACTGGGGTTTGCGATTGACAAAGAACACAACAAGTATTAAAGAGTCTCAAAAAGCAGGAGCACAAACATGCAGCTCGAGCTTTACTCCATCAGCTGACATTTAACACTGTGCCTTCTTCAGAGCTTGAGGCTGGTTTTCCCAAATCTGTCTGGTCTACAAGTGGATGACTCTTTCCTAACAGGCTCTGCTCACAGCTGCATTTTAATGCAAAACACCTTGAGGAAAAAAAACATTATTTTTGTGTACCCCAACAAGTTAATACAACATGTAGTTTTTTGCAATTCATGAAAGTAAATAGTACCCGAGGGCACCTGTGTAGCTTTTTGGCTGCTGACGACCTGACAGCGAACTGCAGAGGCATATTAACACAGCTGCCTCTATAAAAATAACACAATACTTATATAACAGACAGTATCTCCTGTTTCAACCAGTAACCACTCAACTAGGTCAATGCTTAGTTACTGACTTCCACAACGTAAAGGCAGTCCTCGCTGCCTTCTCGCTAGCTGAAATACAGATGAGCGCTGACACAACCGTAGGATTGGATAACTTCACTAGCAGCAGCTGTTCTCCAAGAAGCAGGAAAGAGACGGAGCAAATCTGAAGGGGGGTGTCCTTTTTTTGTGGCAACAAAGGGAACAGGGAACTACTGCAAACAGTGACGGATAGCTTATTTAAAAATGTAACTAAACAACAGATTACTTGAGACTAACACATAACATGTTACAACAAAAAAATAATGCAAGTACTCTGACACATCCCCAACACTGATCACTCATTAGTACACAAAGCTATTTTTAATTAATCTTTTGGATCGTTCTATCTTTTCATGAGTCTCTAAGCACTGAGCAAAACACGCAGCTCATCATGTTGGGAAAAAAACATGGTTAAATCGTATATTTTTTTATCTTTCAGTTCCCTGCACCTCCGGCTGTACAGTACTTGCTGCACGCACAGCTCTCTTTCACTGTATACTAAATGTTTTTTAAACCTTTTTTTTTTCTTTTACTACTGCTGGAATATACTAGAATAATTTTAACTACATTGTCCAGCTCTGAGACTTTGCTATGCTGAAATGAAAACGATCAGTTTGATACCCACACCAGCACTATGGGTGTGTTTTGTCCTACTCACGTATATTTCTGCTGCTGCAGCTTCTCCTTCTCCAGGCGTTCTTGTTCTCTCTTCTCCTTCTCTCTTTCCTTGCGGTCGGCGTGGAAGGATGATCCGTCCACATAGTCGCTGGCGATGCCAAAAGCAGCACGAAGACGGTCGTTCTTCTGCTGGTTGGCTGCAGCCAGAGCATGAGTCTCTGTCACCCTGAGAGAAACCAAATCAAACAGCTTTGTATCACCGACACTTTGCAATATGAACCAAGGAGATGCGCTGGATACCCAATGTGGCACAGCACAACTTGTACTATCGTCTATGCTGTTGTTTCAGCTTGGAGAGTTTGATAATGACATTTTTTTTTTTTTTTATATATATTTGTGTCTTGAAATAAAAAACATTTCAAGCAGGCATTCGAACAGGTTGGGTACATATAGCACATTGTGAGGGACCAATGCATAATGTGAACATATATGTGCCTCAATATTTATATCCTGTCAAAGATCACTAACAAAGCATCACAGTGAAGTTTTTTTATAACTCTGACTAGGGCTGCACGATTTATCTAAATAAATAAAACAGTAAAAGTGTGTGAGACACTCTTCTGTGTGTGCGCTGCGGTCTGCTCGTTATCTCCGCCCACTGCGGGCTCTCATATGTGTCTCTAAAAACAGATAAGATAACCGAACACTCACAGCCTGGATGGGGCGGGACATTAGGGGCGGCTGTGGCTCAGGAGGTAGAGCGGGTTTGCCGTTAATCGGAAGGTCGGCGGTTCAATCCCTGGCTCCCCCTGGTTGCGTGTCGAAGTGTCCTTGGGCAGATACTGAACCCCGATTTGCCCCTGGCGGCTGTTCCGCCAGTGTATGAGTGAGTGTGAATGTTAGTTTCCGTTTGAGCACTTAGGCTCAGTGTATGACTACATTTAAAAAAAAAAGCTTGACGTGCTACAGTAAATCATTAAATGTTGAACAATATGATTATTGACCAGTTAGTACTTAGCATTAACAAATTAGAGACCGACGTAGAGCTTTATGTTTGCACAAGGATTAAATTTTAAAAAACAGCCCACAAAAATGAAACAGCTGTAACTGGTTTTAATACTCAACAAGTGGGAAAAATGAATACTATTATATGAAAGTAATGAATGTAGTATTTAATATATTATTGTTATACTATTAATAGTAAACTATTAACTAAACATTATACTCTTCATATAATACACTCATGTATACTCGTTCCTCCTCCAAGTTGTGGATAGAGACTCCTCCTGAGAGCAACACGCTCCCCTTGTTCTGTTTTACATCTGTTTTACTTGATACTTGATATTGTAATAAATATTGTTTAACTTTGTTCAAGTTGAGAAACACATATCAAAATGTCAGTATTTCACATGTTCCTTGATAATTAAGCAAGTAGACTCATAGTACCATTTGTTCTACTATAAATCGAATCACAATATAGTCCACAATAATCGCAATATGACTTTCTTCAAATTGTGCAGCTTTAATCCTGACACACTTTCCACGTACCTTAGTCACAATAGTTTTTATTATAACAAAACTTTGGAGCAACATTAATTCTTGTTGATTGTGTTGCACTTACATCGTTTTTTCATTGGTGGCGGGAGCTGGCTCCTGCTTCTCCTGCAGCATCATACGGAAACTGTTCACCTTCTCCTCGATTTCCTCAGCTGAATACCTGCCAACCCAAACAGAGCAGAGTATTTAAAACTGTACAAATCAAATGCAACAACCTTCTGGCCACTATTCTTATTTTACTCTCCCACTGTATCAAGCTAGTGTCTACTGTATGTCAACAACATTCACATATCACTGGTACTATATAATTTAACAGATATATTTTTGCCCACATTGTCGTCACATGAGAAAGAAAAGGTAACGCCGTTTAAGAGTTGCTGGAACAGTTAGATGCTGCTTAAACAAGAACTATTTTGAGAACTGATTGATCCATATGAAAATTTAACTAGTACAAAATCCAAACATTTGATGGTTACAGTTTTATAAATGAGTGAATATGAAGCTTTCCAAAGTTTTACATGCATAAAGTAGTTCCCTTTAGATTTGTTACTGCGATCCAAAGACATCCCTTTTGGCTCTGGATCTTGTGATGGGCATTTGTTATTACTTTTTATATTCAACATATTAAATAATTATGAAACATAAATGAATTAATCAGTAATGTCGTACCCTTGCTCCTCCATCATGTCCTGCAGCTCGGCACACTTGACCTCCAGCTGCCTCTTCCGTTGGTGCTCCAGTATGTCGGCATTGGGCTGCCTGTTGAGCTGACTCTCCAGCCTCTCTCGGTCCTTCTCATCCCGCTCGCCGCCGCGCTCATCACGCGGCCGTTTGACCCGCAGGCTCGACAGGTTGCGCTGCACATAGCCATTGGTGCCGCTGCCCCGAGGAGTTGTCAGGCCAATCCCATTATACATGGCTCTGCAAAAAAATTAAAAAAAGACAGATGCCATCAGTGGCTGAACGACAACATGATGGATGTAGGTGCCATCACTCCTTAGGGCCCTTTCACACGTGAATGTCGGCACCAAAGTCCATGTTTTGACAGACACGGTTAGTATGGGTTTGGTTTCACATTGCAGTTCAGCGAGCGCACTAAAGAACTTACACACTTGTGTCCTGTTGTCATCATCAATGTGGGTCTCCTTAAACTTGACAATGATTGGATTATAAACAGTTCCGCAGGTAGCTTTGACAAGAATGAATGAGGGATGAACAGATGCATATTGCTGCCACTATATTATTATTATGGCATTACTGCCTGCAGCACCAACTGCACTCAAGGCTAAATGAACGTCCTCATTGTGCAATTTATAGCAAGCAATTCTGCACCTCCGTTTAAGGAGAGACCAAAGAAGTGAGCTGAAATTTGCTTCCATAGCAACCGACCCATGGCTCAGTTTGACCCGGACCGAGACTATCTATTTTCGTCTGACCAAATTTCATCTGTTGGGTCTCTGAATGGGCCTGGGGAGGTGTTACACCTGTAATTTTGGTTTGGATCAAACTGAAAAGTCAGAAAATCTGGACAAATCGAGTAGTTGTGAAAGCGCTCTCTTTTATTATAATAAAATCTAGAAATATGAGATGAATAACTAAAAAAAAAAAAAAATAGCATTAACCAGTCTGCTCTCTGTGTAACAATCCGATTTGATCCAGTATTTTTCACCCCTGTCTCCTGATTAAGTGTGGATAATAATAATTAATTAGATTAGATTAATAATGTTCAGCATGAAGATTAGGTCTGAGGCCAGCATTTGGAAATAATTTCACTTACCTGCAGCCATAAAGATCTCCAGGATCTCATTTTAAAACAATTCTGAGACTGTATCCTTGACATTAAAAAAGCCATTATCACAAGCATCTGCAGTTCATCACTTTGCCATTTTCAGCATTTTAAAACATCGAGGGACTTTGTATTCTAAAATGGCTGACATAAATAATCTAGTAGTGTTTTAACATCGACCTGACTGTTTTTTAAGTTCTAAACTACATGAAGGTGGCAAACAATACAACCAGAAACACAGTTGAACGAAATCACTGAAACATGAACACAAATAAGTTAATTCAGGGGGTATTTTGTTGACACAGTTTTGTGTAAAGTGTGGGCCCAGGAAGGTTTCAAGCAACGTATCACAGTTGCTGAAACTCTTCTGAAACACTGAGTGGATGTATGCGTCTCTTGTCACGCCTAATTATACACTTTTGTTCACATATTGATAAGTTATTCACAATTAAAGCCATTTTGTCGCGCATTAACACGTGCGCCAGACTGGGCCTGTTGCTACGCCTGAGTGTAATTCAGCAACTGTATGATGACTAAGGCTAAGACAAACCACTGAACCACTGAATAACGCAAACAAGGCTGAAACCAACTGATCTGATGTGTAGTTTAATAAACAAAGCAGTAAATTTAAAGCCAACTATGTCTTAAGGCCCAACCGCATTTATGCGTAGCGAACAATTCCCATCCAACGGTAAGCTAACGCGAGCTAAGTTAGCTAGCTTAACGTATTTGTTACGTACCAGTGTTTCTCCCCGTGAGCGGAGAAAAAACTGCGTCGAAACTGTGTTGAAGACAAATACGGTCCCGTGGAATCAGACGCAGAAATAGACCTTATAATAACGGCGTCTTCAGAAGTATGAAAAATAAAGAAATACGGCTAGTTAGCAAGCTAGCTGCTAGTTGGTCTGATCTCCAACCAACGGAGGAACGAGACGAAAACCAGATGACGTCAGACGCACGGGACGCACGTCCAAACTGTGATGCGTTCAGGTGTCGCGGGGACGCTCGTACCATTAGCTCGTTGTAGGTGTTATCAGAATTTAGGTGGAGTAACACCAGAACTCATATGTTTATATTGTGAGGCAAGAAGACTGAATACAATCTCCAGTACACCCAAAAGTAATGCTGTTTACTGCATAAACAGCACTTTAAATTACATAACCCTGTGTCTACAAAACTGTGGTGTCTTTTATAATATTATGTTGAAAATTCAGAATCAGAAATACTTTATTGAACCCCGAGGGGAAATGCTTTCTAAAAGGAAAATGATTGATGATTCAAAAATCAGTTCTTTGCATTTAACCCATCCTATTTAGGAGCAGTGGGCTGCCATCCTACGGCGCCCGGGGAGCGGTTCGGGGTTCAGGACCTTGCTCAGTGGACACCTTCGGCACAGGGTCGTGCTGGACTCTTGTGTTGTATCATTTAATGTTTGACTGTGTTACCTTGTACTTTGTGACGGTCTGTTGGGGACTACAGCTGGGAAATAGCCTTCGAGCTAATTCTGGCATATTTACATTGCTGAAAAGCAAAGATGTCCCTTGATATACACTGTCCCCTTTAAATAAATAAATTACTACTACTACTAATAATAATAACACTCGTTGGTTGAGGAGTGTGGGGGTAGTTAAATTTACAGATATTGTATATTTATGCTTAGATAACCAAGATACAAAAATCTATAAGCAGGAACAAACCTAGTAAGGGTTTGGACACTGTAGGGGGTTATGTATGTATTCCCTGGTGCCTCCATGTGTGCCAAATCTGTTTTTTTCTAGATAGTGCATAGGGACCACAAATATTATCAAAGAGTGATATATTACCTTATGTAAATAATTCTAATAATAATAACATGTTTGTAATAATAATAATAATTCTAAGGGCAGAGTTGTAGACAATTCAGCAGTACAGCTCAACTGTTGACGTTTTTCCATGAAACATCAATATCTCTTTTGGTAAAAGAGGTAAAAGTAAAAGGTAAAAGTATGGTAAGCTTTTCCAGGTTAAAATCTTTATGGATGATTCCGTAGATTCACCTACTACGACGGTCTTTATTTTATTTTTACTTTAATTTTCAATTTAATTTAATTTCCTTTTAAAGGTTGTGTAGCATTTGCACTTGTAATTTGCATCTTGTTATAATTTTTGCTCAGTCCTGTGCTTGTTAAATTTGTGTTCTGCAACAAAATAAATAAATAAATACAAATAAAGTAAAGTAAAGTAAAAAAAAAAATTAATTAATTAAATAAATAAAAATAAGTAAAATGAAATAATACAATATAATAAATATGTAACATAACCTAAACGAAAAAAAATAAAGTAAATAAATAACATAAGATAAAATAAAATAAGTAACATAAAATAAAATAAAAACACATTTCCGGTGTGACCGGAACTCGTACCGAGTACAAAACTACATTTCCCAGCATGCCAACGGGCGTTGACAGTTGAGATCATAAAGACCTCGTACAGAACACGACGGTTAGTGACGCCGGAGCCAGAGACGGAGCTGCGTGTTCCGCTGTTCTTGCGGGGTCGTTTCCCTACATAAAAACACAACGAATTTCACAATATAAACCAAACCGACGCTGCTTCAGTAACGATGGCGGAAGGAGACAACAAAAGCGCAAATATGCTCGTGAGTATTAACCAGCATTTGTAGTGGATTATGTGGGTTTGTTTTGTAACTGTAATAAACGTTAGCACAAACTGCTGTTGCTAATCTAGTGGCGTTCACGCAGCCGAGGATGACCACCCCCCCCCCGTCCTTGTTGGTAGATTTGTTTAATTTGGGTGAACATTGCACCTCCAGGTAGCGAGGGAGCTAATTTAACTAGCGAGTTAGCTTCTTATCCGACCATCCGTCAAAGTGCTGCCGCTGTGACAGCAGCTAGCGCCAGTTAGCAGCTAGCTTAACTGCGCCTTTTTCCCCGTTAGCTTCAGCGGAGAGCTAGCGGGCGCTGTCGCTAACCTTCAGTTAATGTACTTAAACTTAACAGCCTGAAATCGAGTAATGACATTTTCACTCGACGTGACTTTATATCTGTGGTTAGGTCTGGCCGTTTCCCCTTTTCTTGCATGCAGACAGATACTGCACAGTCACAGCAATAATGGAAAATACCGTTATCGTTGCGCTGCTTATCGCGTAACGTTACACACCCCGATCTTACATGAAATGTTGTCCTTTTAAATTCAGTATTCATGGCATTGTTGCAAACCTAACTAGCTAGTTTCCACAAACACATAAAACCGAATTAAATCCATCAGAATAATCATCAGAATAAAGCTATTGCAAAAATTGACAGTTTAATGAAATTGGGATTTTAAGTGTTACAAAAAAAACATGCTTTGAATTACAGATTTTTGCAACAAGGTAAACGGATATAAAATCCCCTCCTCCCTTTAAAAAATGATTTTTATATAATGCAGGTGATCTAGAGTGGATATGACAATATAAGAATTTCACACCCAAGTTGCATGGCCCAGGACAAACTCCTGACCTCATCTACTGAAGAGATGTCCCTGTTCACTGCCAGATTGTGCTGATGTGGGAGTTTTGCGGATTATCAAGAACAGCCTAATAAGGGCTGGGCGATTATGGCCAAAATTGTTATCACGACACCTGTCAAATCATCATTGCTTTCAAGTTTAAAGGTTCCTGAGTGAAAGTTGAAGAGTCTTTATGGTCAGAACAAACACTTGATGCCCAACAATGGATCGATTAACAAATTTGAGGCAGAACATTCAAAACTATTATGATATAAAGAAGTCAAATCTCTCTTCAGTCCTTTTTCCTCAACAAAATAGATCTCTTAATAAAACAAAGTGCCATTTTTGTTCATGAGTCAAATTAATTAAATCAAATATAGCTATATTGTGAAGAAATTATATAACAATATTTAGTGTTTTGTTGTCCAGCTCTAAGACTAATCAATAATGTGGTTGTTAGTTTGGTAACATGTGTATAATCTTCAGGCTCAGGAAACGGCCCAGCTGGAGGAGCAGCTGCAGGGCTGGGGTGAAGTGATCCTGGCTGGGGACCGCGTCGTGCGCTGGGAGAAGGCTTGGTTCCCTGGAGCCCTGATGGGTGCCACCACCTTGCTCTTCCTGTGAGTCGACGTGCTGTGTCACAACCTTATTACTCAGATGTGCACATAGTTGGCGTGGCACACATTTCCTCCCTCTCATCAGTGAGAAATCAGTAACAAGATGAAAGATCAGAACTATCTACACTAACTCAGTTGCCCCAGCTGGTTCAAAATCTAATTCACAGGTGCATGAAAGTGTTGTAAAACTGGTTTAAAGGATATGTTAACCTTCCACATGTTTTTGAAACGCACAGCCGGAAGAAGGAAACTGTAGGCTAGATTATACCAGATTATTGTTACTAGATAAATACTTGAATAAAATTGCAGATGCAGAATTCAGACTAGAACACAAGCAGGTCATACAAAGCATTCCCTTTTTTATAAATGCACACACCCTCCCTCTTAATCTCTAGTTCAGTCTGTTTTAGTGCAGGGCCCTTTGTGTCTTTGCAGATGTCTTTGCTATGAAACCACTATACAATGAGGGGAAGTGAACAGCAGACTTCTGAATTCATGCATGGATGATACAAAATGCTCTTAGTCATGGTTATGAACCACTTTTATATCAAGTGGTCTCAATGTACTGTTTTTTGTCTTCCTCTTTCAGGATGATCTACTACTTGGACCCATCAGTGCTGACTGGGCTCTCGTGCTCCGTCATGCTGCTCTGCCTGGCCGACTACCTGGTGCCCACCCTCGCCCCCAGAGTCTTCGGCTCCAATAAGTGGTGAGATCCTGAGGGTGAAAATTACATTTGTGGAGAAAAAGAGCCGTAAAATCATATTTGTTCCCTACCTATAAAACTATGTTCTTCTGTTTTTGGCTTTCAAGGTCATGTTCCCTTTGTTTTGTGAAAGGCTTTCTGCTAGTCATGGGATTTTCTGTCAGGAGTTAAATAGGCCGTAAATCATGACTGTGCTAGAGGCACATTGTCATCTACATAATTTCTTTTTCTGAATTGTAGCAGCTGCATCCAATTTTATCTTTAGTGGATGTTTCCAGAATCAAACCTTGTTAAAGGAACTGAACATGCAAGATTTAAAGAGGTCATATCAGATTTTTGTGCCTCTTTTTCTTATGTTGTATATCTTTTTTTGTGCATGTAATAGGTTTGTAAATTGAAAAAGCCCAAGAGGAGTTACCATCCCCTACAGAAAACTCTGCGCCTGAACTGGATGGTAGTCCAGCCTTTCCTTTAGTAACCTGTCCGCGTCACTTTGGTAGCACGCTTCACAATCCTCGCCTAGCGGCTAGTGTGGCACGCCCTCAAAAACCAGGCTGAAGATGCGCATTGAGCTGCAGCAAACACAGTGACAAGACGTCCGCCCCTGCCTCCACTCACCCCCGCCCTCCTTACCAAACGTTACATGCCGGTGCCCAGTTAAAACGGGACGTATGAAAGATGTGTTACAGATTAATAACATACCACTCTGAAACGTCTCGCTCCAGTCCAGGTTGTGAAGCTGGTTCGGGTTGTTGTGCCTGTGTTTCAGGGTCAGAGTCGGGGCTCGAGCATGTGCGACCGAGCCGAAGTTACCGGCTGAAGCGGCTTTAATGATCACACTGCCTTGCTAGTCAGGACCCGCTCTACTCTGCTTCTGATTGGCTAGTAGTCCTTAACTATGCACATGTGCAGCTCCCAACAAAGATCGAACAGAAGTGAGATGCTTCACTCGGTAACGGAGTGTTCAACACACAGCGTGAAAAGAGGAGCTTTTAGCAATGTGCAGTTTGACAGAAATGTGTAAACCTGTTCTGGTACAACCCCTAAATAAAGTTATGAACCCGAAAATTAGCATAATGTGACCTCCTTTAAGTTTTGTTAGCCTAGGAAATAATGGTTTGACACTGACATTAAGAGAATGTCCTTGAGATTCAGTATATTTGTTTCGTTGTTGTGATCAGAAAATGCACCTGCTATTTTTTTTTATTGTAACATGCTCTTTCATGGAGCTTTGACATTACACGCTGCTCACTGAACAGCCTCTTGACTTTCTGTGTGTATTTGATGGTGAGAACCAGACACCCAGGACAGGATAGAGTAACAGCCTGCAGTTGGCACAGCATGTTGGACCGCTGTCCTGCACCAGACTCCTCCTGCCTCGATATTTAACCCTCCATCAGCATAGCATGACCTGCACACTTTTTCACTGCTGCACATTCCTCAGGCCGAGGCAGCAGACGTGCTACAGGAGTAGCCATGAGTGTGTGTTATTTAGATAAAGTTGTCTGGGTATTTTAAATGCTGCAGTGGTGTCAGAGTAGGTTTAAAGCACCAGCTTCTTGTCATGGAGGAAATTAAGCGGGGGGGATGGGTACTGACTTAACCACCTTCGTTTAAAAGGCCAGCTTTGTATTTTTAGATATAGGCCAGGCAAGTGTAGCTGTTATTCTGAAGTGTGGTCAAAATTATGTCGATTACCTGAGGCTGCTGTTTACTCAGCGAGCAGAATCGAACTGATAGCAGTGGTGTCTGTGAGGCTGCTTTAAATGGAGCTATTAAAGTCCAGTCACGGTCCCTGTTTGGCTGACAACAAGGATGGAAATAGGGAACGATGGCTCAGCAGAAAATGAAGGGCACTTCTCAGCTGCCCTCTTCCAGTCGACACTGTAACAAACGGAGGATGTTTTTCTGTCCCTTCATACAGATGGTTATAGGCAAATGGCTAATTGCAACTTCTTAATCAGGTCTTTTGTTTATAGTGAAATATCAAAATCAGATTCTCCAAATAACCTGATTTGTTCTTTTAAAATAACCCGTTTACTATAATAAAACTACAAAAGCACACGCATTTGAGAACTCGGGATCAATTGTCATGAATGAGGGAACTTAAATAAAAAGAGCTATTAAACGAGAGGAAAGCTGCTCTGATGTGACGAAACTTTATTGAACTTATCAGCTTCCTCTTGATGGCGAGATTAGGAGGGGTGTTGTTGGTGAATATTAATAAATGAAAACATCCTTTTGGCCTCTGTTTAAACTGAATAAAAAAACCTCTTCTGCTGTGAAACAGTTAGATTTTTGTTTTTAATCCCACCCTTGTCCTCGACCTTTGCTCGTGCGCAGGACCACCGAGCAGCAGCAGCGTTTCCACGAGATCTGCGGTAACCTGGTGAAGACCCAGCGTCGCGTCGTGGGCTGGTGGAAGCGTCTGTGCGCCCTCAAGGAGGAGAAGCCCAAAATGGTAAATGGAAAATCTTAACAGCTTAGTCCTACTCGTACAGAAACTGAATCTGTCACTGTAGACATACGGACGGAGCTGTCTGCAGCGCTGCAGTAAATGCAGCCGTCCTGTCTGATTTTATTACAATGGTGAGCTTTCTCTGCTCCAGATAAAAATATCCTCAGCTGACTTGGTTGGCTGCTCCACTTAGCAGACCTCAAAGTGGGTTACAGGCTGTGATAACCGGGTTTTTCACAGCATGCTTTAACACTATTAATACACTCTCTGTCAGATCACATTCTCTTAATTCACTTACAGCTGCTGTTCCTTTTTAAAACGACAGCATATGTTCTGCTAATTAAAATTAAAAACAGCTTTAATACTTTTCCGAACATAAAACATTCATTAAATGATGCTCTGCGTGCAGTCAGGACGCAGTTTGTGTTTGAGCAGCTGAACTGCTGTGTGTTGAATGTAACGTGACCTCCCTGTTCTCCACAGTACTTCGCCTCAGTGATTAGCAGCTTGCTGGCGGTGGCTTGGATCGGACAGCAGGTGCACAACCTGCTCCTGACCTACCTGCTTGGTGAGTTTATTACAACATAGAGTAATTGGGAACAACTTGTTTTTTTAAAAATACCCTTCTGTCTGGGTTTTTTTTTTTTTTTTTTTTTTTTTTTTGCTGGGTTGCCATTTGTTCTATAATTTTTAAGCTTTTTGGTTGACTTGTTTTGATGTAATTTTACCTCAGTGTGATTATCAGTATAGTGAAAAAAGCTTCAGAGATCAAACCTGCCACTATAGTAGGAAAAAATGCTGCTATTGTAACACATGATCATCCAGTCTGTGATGGATTTGTTTTCTGTATCCTGTTGCCCTTTAAAACAAAATGCACACTGGATTATGTGGAAGGTGTGCCCTTAAAACAAGGTGGTAACCTTTTGGACTCGCCCAAATATGTAGGTTGGAAGTTGAATAAATTCTAATATCTGGTGAGGTAAACAGGGATTATGTTTCATTCACTAAATAGTTTTTATTTATTACAGGACACCTTTACTGATTTCTTTGTTTTGACAGTTTTAATTTGTCATTCAACCATGTCAGACATGAAGGAACGAAATTTGTTTCCCAGGACCGGCAATGTACAGAATAACATTTTAAGATAAACCCCATAATAAAATCGGTTAAATGACCCTAAAACTATAAAAAATAAACATGGTTAAAACCCGTCGTTTACTGGAGTTGCTGCTGTTAAATTTTAATAAGAGAAATCAAATCCATTGATACGAGAGAGGTCCGTCTGGAAAATGAAACTTTGATCACCTAAAGTCAGGAAACGCTGCTCGATCTTCTTCTGTAGCTGCGTTCAGTGAGGGTGTAGGTTTACCCTTTAAACATGGCCGCTGTGGTGGACGTCCCATCTGATAGTCACACATCAGAAACAGGAAGCGACAGTTGTTGTTTGTGTCTGCAGTTGCAAAAGTCTCTGGTTGTGATGAGTTATTGTGCTTCGTAATGTGCCTTCAGCTGTTTTGCATGCATGTTGAAAATCTGCAGTACCCCTGCTGTGGAAATATTGTTCTCCCCCCCCCCCCCAATCACATGAACTCTGCCCATCAGGCTTCCTGGTACTGTGAGTCAGAAGTGCAGCAGTAATGCAGATCAATACCTGGATCCCTGAGACAGACTCGCAGTAGTATTCAATTAGCACAGCTGCTTTCTTCATTATTAATGACTTAAATCCAGGAAGTTGTTTATCCCTGTGCTGCAAAATGAGACCAAAATGGGAGGAAAATGTACGGAAACTTGAGATTGTTCATTTAAATATTCAAAGTAGAGCTGAGAGAGGACAAAACCGTACAGCTGCAGAGCGGCGCCTCGGGGCAAAGCGACCGTTGGTGAATCAGCAAGTCTGCCGGCTGAGCCAGTCATCAGTTACATGAGCTGAGACATGTCGAGTATCATCTGACGGGAAAACCATGGGAGGAGAAGTGACTTCAGAGGGTGAATGACTCGGAAACAATACAGTAATCAGATCGGGCTTCTCTGGACTGGTCACAAACGGCTCTACGGCCGAACACTGATCACCTCATTGATTGAGGAGCTTTTGGATAGTTATTCATAACATGTTGACGTCCTCAGGGTGCTGCTGGAATGTGAAACATCCGTCTTGAGAATAAAATGTGCAGTCATGTCAATGTTTTGGCATCTGTTTTTTTTTTTTTTCTCAGTTGCATAGCAGCAGTGTTTTCATGGGCTTCCTGTGTCAGAAAACAAGAACTCGCATGTTTCTTTTGACGGCAGCAATTTCTGGCTCCCACAGGTCACCATGACTGGAATTTACTTAGAAATTCCTGTGGAGTAGATATGGGAAGCATTCGGTAAACATTTAAGTGTTGGAGTGCTGAGCTTTTGGCTAAAGGTATTTGATATGTTTGAGACTTGGATGAAGAAAACCAGTCTGTCAAACAAAGATCTGTTGGGATTGCTGATATTCTGTACATTCAAAATAATTGTTTATCTGATTACTGTGAGGGGAGGAAGCAGAACTCCTGTCTGTGACTTGATCAATACTTCACTGGAGATCAGGCTGCCAAATAAATATTTAGCATCCTTTGATACTTAATGAAAACTGGTTTGGATTAAACTGTCACTGGGACCATCTGCACTACATGTTTAAAGATGGGGTTATGTGTTGTAGAGCCGGACTGATTTTGGGATTTTTAAGACCAAATACTGGTTTTGATATTTGAGGATTTTAAAATCCGCTATTCTTTTCAGAAACTCATACATTATCCTTCACATCTTTATGTGTAGTTATGAGATCTCATCAAGATAACGTGACATAAATGCAGTTTAAAAAAAACAAACCTTTTCTTATTGGCTACGTTTGAGATGACGGTCGCTGACTTGAGCAGAGCGCCCTCTGGTGGACAAACTATGCAGCGACAACACTCATAACATGATTGAAGTAGCCGTCTCGTTTGTCATTTAGTGGCTGTTATAAACACCAAAACCAATTTGGCTTCAATTTGCACATATTGGCCGATATTACTGCGCACTGATCTGTCTGTCTTGCTCTATTGTGCCCTTTCTTTACTTGTTTTATTATATTAAAAAACAAACCGTGTCCATGTGGTTGGACTGTGGATTATTTTATATTTATTTTTTTATTTTTATTTTTTTTTAAAAAGCTTTAATTTTAACTTTGTTCTGCAGTGAGTTTCCTGCTGCTGCTGCCCGGCCTGAACCAGCACGGCGTCATCTCCAAGTACGCATCCATGGCCAAGAGGGAGATCAACAAACTGCTCAAACAGAAGGAGAAGAAGAACGAGTAGACGGATGAACCACAACGCAAAGAGGAAGGTGGAAGGAAGTTGCTTTGAAGGAAAGAGAGAGGAGAGCAAAAAGTTAAAAAGCCTCCTGCTTCGTCGGTCTCTGCCGCAGAGGAAGACGCACCATTTTTATTTTCACACATTGGATGAGTTTAATTTCTCCCTCCCAACCGTTTTTTGACATTTCGACCTCATCACCACCCCACTTTTGAATTGATCTGCCGTGCATGCATGCAGCTACCACATGAAGTTTATCGGATAGTGTCACACGTTCGTACACCACACTGAAATGCCCGACAGCCACGTACACAAAGTTCCTTCTGTTTCTTAGTTTCACTGTGCTTAATTTTTAAGATGTCAGTAATGCTTTTAAGCCATTCCCTCTACTTAGACAAAGTGACTACTGAGACGTTTTTGTAGCATTACTGCATCATTTTAACCGCCTCCATAGATTCCCGACAGTAATGGGTTTTGTTTTATTTCGGGACAATTTTTGTCAAATAAGAACAGCTCATGTAAATTTTTATTTTTTATTTTTTTTTTTGGGGCTTATTCTGCTTTGGTTGTAATTTAAAAATAGCGCTGAGAACAAAACTGGATTTAAAGCAGCTTTCATCAGGAGTGAAACTGTCCAGAAACAAGCCTACTGCTGTACCGCTGCTAGCTGGACTCTGGTCTATTAGCTCTTGTATAAAACCCCACAGTGTTACCGGAGTGGGGTGTCTCTGTGTAAATAGACCCGTCCCCTCCCTCTCTGTCCCTGTCCGTCACCGTTTTCTCTGTTATTTATCTGTGTCGTTTCCTCCTCATTCTCATTGTGTCCGGTCCGATCACTGTCTTTCAACTCATTTCATTACGTGTCTTTATTGGAGATCTTTACAAAAATGAATAAACTTTGATTTAAATGAATTTTCACTGGCCTTTTTGTTGTTTGTTTGTTTCTTGGTTGGTTGGCCTAAACATGTAGATTTGTGTCTTGAGAGTTGTCTAGATTTTCAAAGTGGCTTAGTGTGATTTTAGTTAAAGAGAAACCGTAGTTTTGGGGTGTTTTACACTTTTCCCACATTACTAAATGCCACACAACTGACCTTTATTATGTATTTGGTGAAGTCTGTGCTGTCAAACAGCAATATTAGCCTGTCTTTGCTTAATTCTGTCGTGATCACATAATCATGATCATGACTTGAGTAAGGGAGGGGCTCGTGTTTCCGAACTTTGGCTGACGGGAGGCCCACAATCTCAGACTTTAAAAAAAAACAAAACCCTGATTTGAGCAAAAGTCATTAAAAACTTAAGTTGTTCATCCTCTAGAGAGCAGGAACAAGCTCGGTGAAATGTTCCCCTTAAGATTTAACGTGTTGTGTAGAAATATTGGCCAGGTCACCGCTTTAATGTATAATGTGTCCATCACAAAGAATGAAGTGTCGGTTGTCGTGATGAACCTACAAAGAGTCATACAGCATCTCTCACATCATTTGCTTTTCCGGCCTCTAACCACTCAGTGTGGTTTTGGGGCCACAACAGGAAGCTGTTTGTTAGCAGCTCTGAAAAGCAGCAAACAGTGAATATTGACATTTTATTTATCAAGTGGACACGAACACCACTCCAGCGTAACAGCTCTATAAGGTAATGGCTTGTTTTCGCTCCTCTAAGTGGTTAAAAGAAATCTGTTATTGTTGGTTCAGAAGCTGTGTGGAAAACTTGGCTTATGCACTTAAATTGTACGAGTGGCTGAAAATTAAATTCAGTGTCATGTCCCTCTGGATCAAAGCTGCTTTTGGAGACAGCAGACTTCACTGGATACCAATACTTTTTGTGAGAAGAGTTGTTCAATTATCTTTGCATAATGACTTTTTTTGGGGAGGGGGGATGTTGAAATGCAGATATTGACAAGCATTGTGGGAAAAGTGGCGATCTGGGCCCAAGATCTTTTTAGTTTTTAGATAATTAAATGTTTTTGCCTCTTAGACAGATGTGGTGTGACCTAATTTCATTCACACTCTTGCAAATGCAATAAAACAACATTGCTTCAATAAAGGTGACAAATAAACATTCACAGCTTATTGTCATTGCAAACAATGAAGCGCCTGAGTTTTAACCACTGTGAAATATTTGCTTGTTCAACCATACGCACACTGTTGGTCTGGCTGCTCAGCTCTGCTCCGATCCGCAGACCTTCCAACTTACTTCCAACATGGTCCCAAAATGCTAAAAGGCAAAACATGTAACATAAAATTAAACAATATCATCTTAAAGCCACAGGATAACATTGTGAAACTAAATACAACAAAAAGATTACAAGGCCGAGTATAAACTGTCACGTTAAAGAAGAGATAGACTCAACAGACTTGTTGACTGCATTTCTCACGGTACAAAAATATACAAAACAAACAATCTCTTTTATCTTCACTACAATGTTCATCCTTTAAATAAAACCTCACACCAGACAGGAGTCATGAATTATTAATACATTTAATGGAGGAGTGTTGGTCAGTAGTTTCCTGTTGGTCAGTGCTGTGTGTAGTTGTTGTTATGTCAGTAGAGTCTGAGTGCAGTGCAGTCTGTCTCCCGGCGTCTCGCTGGCCACAGCAGCTTGTCTCTGGACCGTCTGCTGGGCTTCCCTGGACCAGGTGTCGGCCTCTGCTCACCTGCAGACAGTTTTGTTTAGTTGTGACTGATTTCCAAACAAAATACAAATTCATGCGATCAAACGGAAGCAACCAATATGCCTCACAGTATAACAGGTATGACTGAGATGCACAGTAACATGGAGGATTATCATTCAATATAAGACACAAAACCAAACAGCTCCTACAAGATGTAATTCTACGAGTAGATAATATATAATCCTCTAACAGTATATGCTAATTGTGATATTGTACTTATTCTAGAAAATATTTTGCTTAAGTGTTTATGGATCAAATGATCAGATGAGAGTGTGTTTACTTTATCACAAACTCTATCAACAGATATTCATTCATTATTCTGATATTCTGTTTAAATGAAAAGGTGCAGTTCCTCACTGTGACCACAGGAGGGCAGTAAACTCTCATTATTGTGTTTTTAATCCTCTTCCCACTTCCAAAAAGTAAATAAAAGTGGCTGAAACACTCACACCATAGTATTTACTGCAGGGGTTTATGATTGAATATATTATATGCAGGTGTTCATATTGTTTGAAAACAACATATTCATTAATTGACACATCCAAATAATTATACTAAGTATATATACCTGTCATATTCCAACTGAAGAGTGTAGTTTTTATTGATCATGTTTATTGTTCTCTGTGGTTGCAGTTACATGTCAGTCAGGTGAACTTTAACCCGTTCAGAGTGACCTTTAAAAAACAATGTCAGGTGTAACTGTGACCTTACTGATCTGTGTGTCATGTAACCAGAAATATTGTCCCACCCCAAATCAATCAAAAGCTCTGCATTTTCATGAACCCAAACCTGATTAATATTCCAGCGACTAAACCTCTGATTACACCAGTGTAGCTGAGGCTGACCCAAACTAAGAGCAAAGGAGTTTAATTTACTGAATCAACTGAATTAACTAATTGGGAATTAAAGGTCCGTATTAGAAGCGAGGGAGCTGCTGGCGTCTACAACTCACTCGATCCCAGTGGTGTTTATACATAAACAAAAAAACCCTCAGAAAATAATGAAATAAGATAAAGTAACCTTTCTGACCTCTACATCCCATCAATAGAAAGACTAAAAACCTCCACAGGGAACCTTTAATGGAGCACCTGAGTCAATATTTAACATTTATTAAATCAAGAAATCCTCACTGAATTTAACAATAATCTAATTTCAAGCATGTTCTGGTTAAAACAAATAACTCCAACAAGAATCTGTGCAAACCTCTGAGAAATTCTTAGGGACGGCTGTTAAACCAGTTTGATGTTGATCCACATTTTCTGCTGATATTGTGATAAAAATATTAAATCAACTATTTGATTTTATGATGTGGTGTCAGCTGGTGAGCTCCTGAGCCTACTCTTGATCCCACAGTTAATTATTTCTTTGACAAAGATTTGGTCACCACATCACATCTTTATTTCTAGTTCAGTTTAGCACATGAACACATTTTTGTTCTTGAGCGGCATTAAATCCACATTAACCATAAAATGTATGAATGAATAACAAACTGCTACCAACAGGAAAACAAAATCAAACAATGTAAAGATTTACAAACTGTTACAATACATTTAATGACACATGACCAGAACCAGAGAGAGGAAATGAAAATCATATATACAGTGTGTGTATATATGAAGTCACTAGGTGGCTCCACCTCTTTGCAAAAGACAAAAGCAATCAGAGTGCAGATCTATTTCTATTTATGGATATCTATTAGTCTGCAGAAAACAAAGTGCAGTGATTTAAAATACAATAAACAATTCAAACAATATTAATTTAATGTGAAATAGCTTGAGATAAGTGATATGATCTTAAAATGTTGATTATATGCAAACATTTTATAGTTATATAGTTAATTGTGATTATATTTCTGTGGATGATTTCTTTTTTTTGGTTTCTGTGTCTCGGAGCTTCTGGAGGTTTCCTCTGTGGTCACAGCCTGAATTTGGGACCACTCACCCAAACAAGCAACAAGTTGTTTTTACAACAGCTTTACAGAATCGCACAAACTGAACCTTGATTACTCCTCTCAGCGCTCCTCCTGGCTGCCTGTTCATATCTGGCCTGCAACTTGTTTGTTTCCTCTCTCAGTTCTCTCTGATGCTGTTCCATTAGTTTATTCCTCTCCATTTCTGTTGCCTCCCGCTCTCTCTTTCTTTGTTCCTTTATCTCTTCCCACAACCTCTTTCTTTCTTCACTCATCTCCTCCTTCTCCCTCTTCCTCCCCTCCTGCTCTCTCTTTCTTTGTTCCCTTATCTCTTCCCACAACCTCTTTATTTCCTCACTCATCTCCTCCTTCTCCCTCTTCCTCTCCTCCTCTCTCTCTCTCCTCTCCCTCTCTCTCTCAGCCTGGAGTTTCTCAGTAATTTTCTTCATTTGTTTTTCATATTTTTCCTCAATTTCCCTTTCAAGTTTCTCTCTTTCTTCCCGTATTTGCTCTTCCTTTTCTTTCAGGATGCGTTGTTCCTCCTCTTTGATTGCCCTCTCGGCCTCTTGGAACATCTCGTTGGTGTAGTGGTGTCCTCCGTTCTTCTGGACTACATCTCTGATCTTCTGGAGGAGCTCAGTGACCTGAGAGCGATCCTCCTTCTTCCTGTTGTTGAAGAGGTGGTACTGGCCGTTACATCTGGCCACGAGTTGTTGAAGCTCAGAGCTTTCATTCAAGAAGTCCTCGATAGTTGTGCCTTCAATAAGGTCACCGTGGGTAAAGAGAACCATGCTGTATCTGTCTGCAGCCTGGCCAAAGATTTCTTGAATCTTCTCCACTGTCTTCATTTCCTCTCCAGTGAATCTGCCCAGTCTGATGACCACCAGGAACACATGGGGTCCAGGAGCAGCAAAAGAGATGCACTGGCCCACATCTTTAGTTGTTTTATCCTCATCAAACCTGGTGTCAAACAGACCCGGGGTGTCAATGACAGCAACCTGTTGCCCACCCACCACAGCTGTGCCCTTACCACAGTCTACAGTCATAGACTTTGCGCTGAACTTTGACACAAAGCACTCTCGTCCCAGGATGTTGTTTCCAGTGGCACTCTTCCCAGTTCCAGTCTTCCCCACCATCACTATCCTCACCTCCTCCTCATTTGTTATGGTGTATCCTGTGTAGAACAACGAGTGACAATGAATACAAACCTACGGAAGCCCTAAACGGCCATCCATTCAAATATTTTTTTATTCTGTTTTCCCGTGATAACGAGATCATTTTCTCGTGATCAAGAGATAACAAACCAGTAGTTTAACACGGGGTCAGCAGGAACATTTTCCAGTTTCTCATGAAGAAGCAAAGGAAATTTGTGCACCTCTCATTCAGGAGAATCCATTTAACATTACACATTTTCTGAGGGCTATTTCGGAACCTTTGAAATATCCGTCTGGAAATGTGTGATAGGATTCCCCTGAATGTCTTCATAACAACTTTGTTGGCGAGGGTGATAACATTTTTTGTTGTGAACAGTTGTTGAATATATATATAATATTTGATATATTTGAATTAATGGCCGCTTAGGGCTTCCGTACAAAAGCACACAGTGAATTTAACATTTAATTTCTGAAGATCATAAGAATGTTTAATGTTCACGGTGAGCTTAACAGTAATAGAATATTCTGATATATGATATAAAGTGACCAGACGTCCGAGATCAAAACTGGGAACATAATCCCCGAAAAGGGGGAATTTTTTTCTATTTTAAATTAATACTATTATTTCTATTCAAAGTTTTTTTCTGTATTTAGCCAGGGACAGGCAGCCAATAACGGGGACTGTCCCTGAAGTCTGGGACGTCTGGTCACCCTATGATATGTGATGTAGGTATTTTGCAAATCACTCACTATAAATATGATAGAGAAGCAGAAACAGATAGTGAGAGTAAAGTCAGATATTTTAATCATTTGAACCAATACAATTTATTATTAAATGATATCTCCAGTCTGCTTGAAGCTTTTTATATTTGTCCCTCTTGACATGTAGCAGCCCAACACACAGACACACACGAACGCTTTGCATGAGCAAAAACCCCTGATCGGACTGTTGAGTTTGGCAACGTGGTGCAGCCTTATCCTCAGAAACACAGACACAACCAATGACAACAAGTCAGAACGATGGTTGTCGATGCCAAACTGTGTCTCCTCAATGAGTTCCCCAAGCAGAAAAACACCCTCTGTTCCAGTCTCCTCCCGGTCGATGTGTGTGACTGTCTACACCTTAGGAGCTTGCACTGTTGAAGCTCGGCGCATCACCCTCTCTGCAGTTCTCAGCACCTAATAATAATAATAATAATAAAAACATAATACATTATATTTATATAGCGTTTTACACAGTGCTCAAAGACACTTTACAGAACAGAGAAAATAAGAACAAAGCAACCTTAATATACAAATATGGAATATGATTTATGAATGTTGATCTAGCTGGCTACGATTTCAGTACAGTGATATCAAAGATCCTTGCTCCTTCTCAACTCTCTGGTAATATTCTATTCACAAAATGCAACCAAGAGTACGGTAATGTTAAATCTTACTTGTGAAAAGTAATCCTACCGAGCCCTGTTTGCGATGGTCCGCAGATTTGAGCATGAATATGCTGCACAGCGCTCTGGCATCTCGCTGTGTTCAGCTGCGCAACTCGGAGTGCGACCGGTTCAAGATGGCAGCCGCATTTCTTGCGCGTCTACCTCTATTTATGTCTGTGGTGATAACGGATCGCGGGTGGAAAACTATGGACTAAAGATGACAGCGCAGTCTGCTGAAGCCTCTGCGGCTTGTTTAGGTGGCTGATTTGCAGGCTGATCAACATCCTGCCCCTCCTGTGACCCACAGTGTATTCAGAGCCAGTGAGGACTTTCAAAATAATAATAATAAAATAAAAACTGCGTTAACGTGCCCGGCCCTGTAAGAAATATGATAGGCCTACAAAGTGGAACCCTTACAAAACACATTTTGATTCAACATTAATTTGGTGGTTGTTTGTGCTTTACATCTGAAAACTCTGTGGTTACAGCCAGAACATTAACAAGCAAACTGGTTACATATCTGCACATATAGACCTGCACTCCAGATGCAGTGGTTTGTTAAACTATATGAAAAGTATGAATTATAACAGTCTCACACTTTCTATTACATTTCACACTGCAGTGGGGGGTTTCTCGTCTCTGTTTGAAGATTTTAAAAAATTAACTGTTTCCTTTTACAAAATAACAAGGTTGATAATATAACCATTTGTTTTCTTTTGTCAGATTATCATCTTGGAAGTTAAGTTAAGTAAGACATTCAAATAATTAATGTCTTTGCAGTTCTACCCTGTATAAATCTATAGAAGTATTTATCATTAGGAGATATACAGTAGGCTAGTACTTTATCACCATAAAGTAATTGCACTTTAAAAATATGGATACAGTAGCCTATCATAACTTACCTAACTTGCTGGTCATGCTTGGGTTGTGGTTGCTGGTCTTGTTTGAGTTAAAGAGTTAAAGTACTGCAGCGGAAGTGAAAACACAGCCTGCCTTTTTAAAGTGGCCCAAACCACGCCCAGAGAAATGTGCGCTACATAATGAAAGTGAAACTAAAAGCTTGATGTGTTCCCAGGTCAAAAAGAGGTGCTCTTAAAGGCACTGAAAATATACTAGAAATTCACATAGATCACTTATAGTACATTCATACTTCTAACATGCTTACTACAAGTATATTAAAGATATATTCTCCTGAGCTTTAACATACTTCTCAAAAGTATACTTTGAATAAATTGGTAATAAATATGTACTTAATTAAACTTTTAATAAATACGATTTAAATAAAAGTGTATTTTTACAACATTTTTAGTGGGTTGAAAATATATTTATGCCAAACATGCTTCATTGTGTATGCTACTGCAAAATATTGTAATTATTTATGTAATTGCCACATGTTTCAGCCTGATTTCCAGAAGTATGATTTTTAAAACATATTTTTGTAACATAAAAATATATTTTTCAAAAGCATATTTCTTTTTTTTCATTTCCTGTCTTTCTTTTAATTTTCTTTTAATCAGTTAAATAGCTAGTTGAGGTCAGAGACCTCTTTCATAAGGGTAACATGGCCCAGAAGGAAGCAGCATATGTTGTTAACTTAACAAACAACAACATATAGAAAAAAGCATATTTCTTTTTTTTCATTTCCTGTCTTTCTTTTAATTTTTTTTTAATCAGTTAAATAGCTAGTTGAGGTCAGAGACCTCTTTCATAAGGGTAACCTGGCCCAGAAGGAAGCAGCATATGTTGTTAACTTAACAAACAACAACATATAGAAAAAAGCATACTTTAAATCACAATGTGAATATACTTGTTTCTGTTTGTCAACAGTAAACACATGTGTACACAGGGGCGAAGTGCGCCTCCCCCGCCTAGCGCAGTGCATTCAGTTGGACCAGTAAGAATCAAGGTTTTCAAATCGACGACCCAATCACACAGCGTGAAAGTCCGCTTCAAGCAGGAGAGGAAAAGAAAGTTGAGTTCACTCTGGGTTTGGATATATTTTCCTCGGTGGATAGCTCTGGTGTGCATTAGCTAATGCTAGCACATGGATTAATAATGCTAACATTAATTAGCATTTTAATAGCTTCATAATCGAGACACCAACTTTCGTCTGCCTTAAATAGTTTTGGGAGTAACGCGTTACCAAAGAAACACAATTAACGTTACAGTAATGTATTGCTTTTTGCTGTAAGGCAGTTTTTAATGTTACTAAAATTTGGGTAATATAACTTACAGTCTCAGTAACCGTGTTGCTGTTTTGTAATAGTTTTGTATAAATTCATTCTAAAGTTTAGCTGAAGCTACTTTGAATCATCAGCTAAGCATCTGTGTTAGACTATTCAAAAGTGGATATCTTCTAAAGGTGCACTGTTTTTAGAGATTTCTCTTCACTGCCATGGAGGGGGAATTATTACAGTGACAAATAACTCAATTATAACAAGAATATTAAAGTGTACACGCGTATGTGAGAATTGTTGAAATAATGTTTTATTGTATTGCAATGCCTGACCACACGATGTAATAGCATGTGATGTTATGTAAAATACTGCTCTTTGTATGGTCATAGATCCTGTATTAATTTGTTAAAAGTTGAACCTACCCTTTGCCAACTTTAACCAACTTAATGCTAAACCAAGAGTTGGAATTTAGCTCAAGAAAATTAATTAAAGAATAATAATAAAGATTTGCTATAAGAATAGAATTACAGTGTTTATAATGATATGCAAATGAAGAACTAAACTAGGTGGAAGTACTGGCCTAACTGAATATTTAAACTCATTTGCAACTGCATTTCTTTTCTTTTAGAGCTTCTTGGGATCGTTGCCTCTCTCAGAGGGCTTAGAGTGTCACACTCTGCCTGTCAGCCATACCTTGCTTTGCACTTTTGAGATTAGTTTATTATCTGTTATTTTGGTCTGTTGGGTTTTGAGGGGTAACAGTAATGATGAGATGTGTATAGTGCACTTTTCAGTAATACTGATCATATGTCATCATTTTACGGATTTTATTTTTATTTGAAGGTATTTTGCTCAAGATGTGGTACATGCTGTTGTACCTTTTTTTTTAATGTACAGAAATTTATTTTTGTAATATACACAAAATTAAAAGGTTTTTTTTTTAGATGTGTGTGTGTGTTGTAAAATTTTATTTACTAATTTACTAATGCTAAAAGGGCATCTTGCAAGATATTAATGTATTAATAATGAATTATTCTCATACTAAATGTTTTCATAAAGCAGCTTCCCAAGATATTAATAGTGGCTCTTGGAGTACACTAGTAATAATCACTAATATGCTGAAATGCTAATAAAAATGTTCAGGGAACACATTTAAAATATATTTAAACTGTTCTTCAAGTATAGCACAAAAGGGTATTTTAAGTTAAATTTAAAGAAGTATATTTAAATTACAGTAAAGGAACTTAAAATAGGTTCATTTGTCCATTTTAACTCAACTAAGTATATTAAAATATATTGCAATTATCTTAAAGTTGACTTTAAGTATTTCTACTTAACATACTTTAAGTTGTTCCAAAATAACACATTTAGGTATAGTACAATTAAAATGATAAGTGCATCCTAAAAAAGTGCTACTTACGTATATTTCTTTTTCACTTGGGGTTGTTTTGGTCAGAGGGATATTTTTGAGAATATCAGGGTTTAACGGATAAAATATCAGGGGTTTTCAGGTGGACCAAACAGGAAGGAAAGGCTGGGGAGCTGCATTAAACAGTGTTTGAGCACATTTCACACGGCAGTGAGGGGCTTCTCGTCCACACTGACACATCTGTTTTAAGATTTCTTAGGTTTTAAAAATAAACCTTTTCCTTTTACAAAATAAAGAGGTTGATAAAATAACCATTTGTTTCTGTGACATCATCAAATACATCAGAGAAAAGCTGAATTAAAAGCACATCTTCTGAACCTCCCTTAGAAAAGGGACTTACAAAAGAACCTAAATGTGACGGCTGTTTAATATTTTCCAAGTGACCAAGAAATAATTATTTGTCACTGAAATATTCTCATAAATGTTAAAGTAAAAGTACAGAATGTGTTGTCAGATTATCATCTTGGAAGATAAATTCAGTAAGACATTCAAATAATTAATATGTCTTTGCAGTTCTACCCTGTATAAAGTATTTATCTACAGGAGACATTATCATCATAAAGTAACTGCACTTTAAAACATGGATACAGTACCATAACTCACCTAGGTGGCTGGTCATACTCGGGTTGTAAATGTTGCTGGTCTTGTTTGAGTTAAAGAGTTAAAATACTGCAGCTGAAGTGAAAACACAGTTCAGAGTGTCTGCTGCCTTTTGAAAGTGGGCCAAACCCCACCCAGAAAATATAGATGCGCTACATGATGAAAGTGAAACTAAAAGCTTGATGTGTTTGTTTCAGTCAGAGGGATTTTTTGGAGAACATCAACCATAGGCGTCGCTAGACCCTTTTTACTGGCGCACGTGCCCCTGTATCCATGTGCTGTGCCCCAGTATTAAAATTGTCAAGACCCCTTGGTGTCATTTTAGGACGTGTAGTTAGCAACAACTGGCAACATCTGCAACGTCAGCAACAATATACATTCAACGTCCGGTTACACTTTCAAAATAAAACCACTGGTTAATGTGAAAAGCTCCTCTCCTGTGGAACCAGGTTCCAGTTTGGGTTCAGGAGCCAGACACCATCTCGCTGGCTCAGGTGAGTCCTGAACCATCCCTATAGTTATGCTGCTATAGCGTAGACCATCATTCAGCCGGGGATGCTACAAGTGGGACCAGTCCAGACAGCACTGGGAAGTGATGGCTCTCCTCGTGGGCACACATCATTTTAAAACAAGACAGTGATTATCTGTCTCTCAGTGAAGGTTTAGTTACAAATCTGGACTAATGCAAGGTGGAAAGCAGTGGATTCACACTGACTATTAAAATGTTGATTAGTAGGGCAGACTGGGCAATACGGACGCACATCTCTCAGTAAATAATAAACATCACTTATTCAGTCAAGTTATAGTATAAATTAGGGCCCGACAATAAAACAGCGTGACAATAATTATCACAGAAATAGTGTTTTGAAGAAAACTCCTAATAAAAGTCAACATTTAAACAGTAAATATTGCCAAAATATGGAACTTCGCCTGGTATATTTTTAGGAAATTGTATGTTAACTGTTGTGTTTTAGTGTATTTTCATCAAATTTACAATTAGAATTGCATTCCAGGTGTAGTAGAAGATATTAAGTTGCATTATAATCTATCTGATGATGGTTTTGATGGTTTATTGCATTAAAAGTATAGCTTTTTTACCAGGCAAGGATAAAAAACAACATTTTCATATATATGAAAATCATATATATCATATTTTCCTTTATTGGATCTCCATTTAGTCTGTAATGGTAAAATAAATATGTATATATTTACAATGGATTTATATGCCTTAGTTTTTGACCTTTCAAAGGAGACCAGAATTATGCATCAGTGTCAAATGGCCAAAAGGTTGAGGAGTTATTCCTGCTTCCTTTTAGGCGTTTTTCCTGGAAAAAAGTTGGCACAGGTTTTTAAATCCTTCTTCTTACCTACAAAGCTCTTAATGGTCAGGCACCATCTTATCTTAAAGAGCTCATAGTACCTTACTACCCCACCAGAGCGCTGCACTCCCAGAATGCACCTGTGGTTCTTTGAGTCTCCAAAAGTAGACTAGGAGCCAGAGCGTTCAGCTATCAAGCTCCTCTCCTGTGGAACCAGGTTCCAGTTTGGGTTCCCAGCAACTAAACCTCTGATTACACCAGTGTAGCTGAGGCTGACCCAAACTAAGAGCAAAGCAACTAATTGGGAATTAAAGGTCCGTATTAGAAGCGAGGGAGCTGCTGGCGTCTACAACTCACTCAATCCCAGTGGTGTTTATACATAAACAAAAAAACCCTCAGAAAATAATGAAATAAGAGAAAGTAACCTTTCTGGCCTCTACATCCCATCAATAGAAAGACTAAAAACCTCCACAGGGAAACTTTAATAGAGCACCTGAGTCAATATTTAACATTTATTAAATCAAGAATGCCTCACTGAATTTAACAATAATCTAATTTCAAGCGTGTTCTGGTTAAAACAGGCACCAATAGGAGCATAATAGAACAAATAAATCCAACAAGAATCCAAACCTCTCAGAAATTCTTAGGGACGGCTGTTAAACCAGTTTGATGTTGATCCACATTTTCTGCTGATATTGTGATAAAAATATTAAATCAACTATTTGATTTTATGATGTGGTGTCAGCTGGTGAGCTCCTGAGCCTACTCTTGATCCCACAGTTAATTATTTCTTTGACAAAGATTTGGTCACCACATCACATCTTTATTTCTAGTTCAGTTTAGCACATGAACACATTTTTGTTCTTGAGCGGCATTAAATCCACATTAACCATAAAATGTATGAATGAATAACAAACTGCTACCAACAGGAAAACAAAATCAAACAATGTAAAGATTTACAAACTGTTACAATACATTTAATGACACATGACCAGAACCAGAGAGAGGAAATGAAAATCATATATACAGTGTGTGTATATATGAAGTCACTAGGTGGCTCCACCTCTTTGCAAAAGACAAAAGCAATCAGAGTGCAGATCTATTTCTATTTATGGATATCTATTAGTCTGCAGAAAACAAAGGGCAGTGATTTAAAATACAATAAACAATTCAAACAATATTAATTTAATGTGAAATAGCTTGAGATAAGTGATACGATCTTAAAATGTTGATTATATGCAAACATTTTATAGTTATATAGTTAATTGTGATTATATTTCTGTGGATGATTTCTTTTTTTTGTTTCTGTGTCTCGGAGCTTCTGGAGGTTTCCTCTATGGTCACAGCCTGAATTTGGGACCACTCACCCAAACAAGCAACAAGTTGTTTTTACAACAGCTTTACAGAATCGCACAAACTGAACCTTGATTACTCCTCTCAGCGCTCCTCCTGGCTGCCTGTTCATATCTGGCCTGCAACTTGTTTGTTTCCTCTCTCAGTTCTCTCTGATGCTGTTCCATTAGTTTATTCCTCTCCATTTCTGTTGCCTCCCGCTCTCTCTTTCTTTGTTCCTTTATCTCTTCCCACAACCTCTTTCTTTCTTCACTCATCTCCTCCTTCTCCCTCTTCCTCTCCTCCTCTCTCTCTCTCCTCTCCCTCTCTCTCTCAGCCTGGAGTTTCTCAGTAATTTTCTTCATTTGTTTTTCATATTTTTCCTCAATTTCCCTTTCAAGTTTCTCTTTTTCTTCCCGTATTTGCTCTTCCTTTTCTTTCAGGATGCGTTGTTCCTCCTCTTTGATTGCCCTCTCGGCCTCTTGGAACATCTCGTTGGTGTAGTGGTGTCCTCCGTTCTTCTGGACTACATCTCTGATCTTCTGGAGGAGCTCAGTGACCTGAGAGCGATCCTCCTTCTTCCTGTTGTTGAAGAGGTGGTACTGGCCGTTACATCTGGCCACGAGTTGTTGAAGCTCTGAACTTTCATTCAAGAAGTCCTCGATAGTTGTGTCTTCAATAAGGTCACCGTGGGTAAAGAGAACCATGCTGTATCTGTCTGCAGCCTGGCCAAAGATTTCTTGAATCTTCTCCATTGTCTTCATTTCCTCTCCAGTGAATCTGCCCAGTCTGATGATCACCAGGAACACATGGGGTCCAGGAGCAGCAAAAGAGATGCACTGGCCCACATCTTTAGTTGTTTTTTCCATGTCAAACCTGGTGTCAAACAGACCCGGGGTGTCAATGACAGCAACCTGTTGCCCACCCACCACAGCTGTGCCCTTACCACAGTCTACAGTCATAGACTTTGCGCTGAACTTTGACACAAAGCACTCTCGTCCCAGGATGTTGTTTCCAGTGGCACTCTTCCCAGTTCCAGTCTTCCCCACCATCACTATCCTCACCTCCTCCTCATTTGTTATGGTGTATCCTGTATAGAACAACGAGTGACAATGAATACAAACCTACGGAAGCCCTAAACGGCCATCCATTCAAATATTTTTTTACTCTGTTTTCCCGTGATAACGAGATCATTTTCTTGTGATCAAGAGATAACAAACCAGTAGTTTAACACGGGGTCAGCAGGAACATTTTCCAGTTTCTCATGAAAAGGTAAAGGAAATTTGTGCACCTCTCATTCAGGAGAATCCATTTAACATTACACATTTTCTGACGACAAAACATAGATTTTGAAATGAAACATGTATAATGACTCCTGCCTATCAGGTGATTAACCTCACCACAAATCCACACACGTTAATTTCAGCGCCTCTGATTCAGGTGGAGCAGAGAGGACAGACACAGAGCTAAATAATAACAATAATCTCCCAGTAAAGTAAAATTTTCGGCCTTTTTTTGTTTGTTTTTTAAAAGATCCGGGGATGCCCAGGGCTCACGACTCCGTGCAATAGTGCAATAACATGTGGTTTGCAAACACTTCAGACAAATAAGGTGCTTTTTACCAGCAGTATTCCCTTTACACAGTAGCAATAAAATATTTCTTGTAAATCTCAAGTTAAACATTAATGTAATCAAATCAAATATAAAACCAAAGCTCTTTATCACTGCCAGGGCTTTATGTTTTATTTAGCGTATTAAAACAAATTACCATCAGAGTCCAGTTTTCTTGGGGTTTTTTTCTGAACAGGTATCAGCAGGTAGGCTATCTATCAGCAGAAACACTATGTTCAGTAGGGTTAGGGCGATGTCTGCATTGTAACGATGGCATGGGGGGGGGCAGAGGTCGTCTTATGCGGTGGATGTTTTACACAGACCAGGTAACATAAAGCAGCATTGAACACAGGGTGCAGGTGTTGGTTTCGGCTGTTTGAGTTGTTTGATAGGCTGCGTCATTAATAAGCAAGCGGCTCTCCTGCTGCCGTGACAATATGGTAAAAAGATGACAGGGTAGTCTGTTGAAGCCTGTATGTGTATTCACAGCCAGTGAGGACTTACAAAATAATAATAATTTAAAAACCTGCGTTAACGTGCGATAAAATAGCCTAATTGTCGGCGTTAATTAGCTAATTATTGCGTTAACGCGAAATCAACGCGTTAACGTGCCCAGCCCTGTAAGAAATATGATAGGCCTACAAAGTGAAAGTAAATTAAAAAAATTAACCTTTTCCTTTTACAAAATAACAAGGTTGATAATATAACCATTTGTTTCTTTTGTCAGATTATCATCTTGGAAGATAAGTTAAGTAAGACATTGAAATAATTAATGTCTTTGCAGTTCTACCCTGTATAAATCTATAGAAGTATTTATCATTAGGAGATATACAGTAGGCTAGTATCACCATAAAGTAATTGCACTTTAAAAATATGGATAAAGTAGCCTATCATAACTTACCTAACTTGCTGGTCATGCTTGGGTTGTGGTTGCTGGTCTTGTTTGAGTTAAAGAGTTAAAGTACTGCAGCTGAAATGAAAACACAGTTCAGAGTGTCTGCTGCCTTTTTAAAGTGGCCCAAAACACACCCAGAAAATATAGATGCGCAACATAATGAAAGTGAAACTGAAAGCTTGATGTGTTTGTTTCGGTCAGAGGGATATTTTGAGAATATCAGGGGTTTTCCTGGCTCGAAATGAGGCGCAGGCAGGGACGTGCACAGACATTTTGGTGGGCAGGGGCTTAAGTGAAAACAGGGCACTTCTCAAATTATTTACAAATGAAAATTTAAACAAAACATTAAATATATTAACACAACTCTGACTTCCTTCAAATATATTTTAATTCCCTCACAGTCACACAATTGTTTACTACTTTAATACTCAAGATTTTTTACTTTTCTACAAAATAATCAGTTCACACAGAGACCACAGTCTTCTTTATATTCACTAGGTTTATCACAGGAGCAGGCAACAGCAAAGGAAGCTATGCCACAATGTCCATGTTTTCTATGCTACTAGTATATATTTGGAATAAATGACCACCAAGGAGAGGGACATAATTTTATTAATAATTTGTTTATTTTTCACAAGTTTTAATTATTTTGGTGTTATTGAAATAGCCTATATTACACTATAAAAAATCAACAGAAATCTTCACACTAAACTGTGGCTTGTAGGGCTGCAGGCATGATTAAAATAAATGTTATTAATATACTTTTACTTTTTGTAAGATGAGGATCACCAAAACTATGAAGTCACTGTTTAAGGCAGGACACTTTAGAGGTCAATTTTGAGACTTTGGTCTGTTTTTCTTCCATGTTTTCTATTACTCTAATGGAAGAAAAACTTCAAGAATTCGCCTTTAGATGGTGTTTGTTTTAAGCCTTCTAACCTCTGTCTGTTAGATTTCTTCTAAATTAACCAAAACAAGCTAATCTAATTACATAGAATATTTCAGTTATTTTCTTTATCCCATTCACCTGCAGTGACTTGTCAAATGTGTGCAAATTAGTGCATTTTAATTAGTTTGCACCTAATTGGCATATCAATGTGGCGATTGTGATGACGTTATTAGACACAACGTCTCATTTTCTGGCCTGATATTTTTATGTCTGCACGTGCCTGGGCGCAGGTCCTGATTATGCGCGTGCATGTGTACTGGACCTTCAACTGGCCCAAGCAAAAACCTTTTACAGGCAACATAACGTAGAACATAAGAGTTCTAATGACATGATTGAAGAAGCTTTGTTAGCTTTGCCACAGCAGTAACGACAGTTTGCTGTGTGTTTGTCTGCTGTAACTTTATACGTAAGATTGTAGACTATTTGTTTGCAAAGGGATTTATGGCCACAAAGACCTAAAAATATGCGTTTTGCTGTTGATTCATAAGATGAAATGCTATTAACCATTGAAATGGAAATATGTCCTTTAGTGAGTCTTCTGAAATGAAGAGTACAATCCAGACATTTTTTTACAAGGGTTTTATTCTTTGGAAAGGGTCATACAGACATATGAGGCCTTTCTGAAAGTGTCACCCTCCAGGCCAACTCGAGCTCCCTAACCCGCGTAGGGTTTAAATACAGCAACAACTGTATTAACCCTCTCTGGATCTGATGTTACCGCTGCACTCACTGCTATAATACGCGTATCAAATAAACAACAGTGGTATTAAGATTCAGGATTGATGTTGAGGAAGTGTGTTTTTGCAATAACGAAACTGAAAGCATTTCTCATTCATTTTGTGTTCGTGTCGAATATTTCTTTAAGAACATGACTTTATATATTTACGAAAAATAAATATTATATTCTTTTATGAAAAGATTGATATTCATTGTAAAGAAAAGCCTATATATTTGAACCTCTTTAACTTAACCTATATGAAAAATGTTACATTCACAAATACAACATTTCAATATAAATCATATGGGCTACTTTGTTAACCTGTGAATGGTGACGTGACAATGTTAGTGTAGTTAACACGTTAACCGGCGAAGTCACACGGAACGCAAATTGAAAGCAAGGTCCCCCATCGTGCAGCAAAGGGTGTTACACACCTTCAACAAGCCAGCATCGGTGCTCACTCGGCATTTGAGGGTTAAACAACCCACTAAAACTCCGCCCTCATTGGTGGTTCATGGAGTGTGATCATTTGAATAGATACGCATTTATCAATAGCTCCTACAATCAGACCTCTGGCACATGGAGTAATGCAACATCCACAGAGAGCTAACAGTGCTACAGCAACCATTACACCTGCTAGCATGGGCATCACTAAGGCCTTTTATCTGGCAAATACAGAATCAGACCAGTCCAACATGTTAGTGTCCACTTCAGAGTTCTCTGCAAGTTCTTCTCGTAGGGAACGCAGTCCTTTCAGCACTCGGCTCACCGAACCATCTAGAGCTGTATTGTTGGGCACAAATGTACAACAGGAGTTATTGAACATTAGTCAAGCATCCCAGCCTCTTTGGGTGCTTCTCTTGTCTCCAACACTGCTATTTGATATTTTTTGAGATTGATATTTGTGTGTACTTCACTGTGGTGTTCTATTGTGGTCGCTTTTGTGCGTCATGTTGGTGATCTAAGAACTGCAACAGAGGAACTGTTAATGCTACTGCAATGGCAGCAAACATCTGTGTTGTTCCCCGTAGGTCACACATGCCTGGGTGTCTGACTGGGTGCCATGGATGTCTCCTTCCAGAGACAAACACATGTATGCGAGCCCACAGCTCCACTGCTGCTGCACCCAAACACCTCCATCTGGCCCACTGGTCGGTAGCCTCACACGCTGGCCTCTCAAGACCAGCCACATAGACCCCTTCCTGTACTCTCTTTGCTCTCTTATCCTCCAGGTACTGTGTAGCATCTCTGAATGATGGTCTACGCTTTTACTGATGGTTCACAATGGCTTTATTAAGGGGGAAATAGGACTATCTTGTAGCTCCATAAACCTGAATACACCATGAACACACCGTAAGAACTACGAAAGAAAATAAATACAACAGTATTACTCTCCTTTTATATTCCAATCATGAAATATCACCTTTTTTAACCTGTTAGCTTAGTGACAACCTCTGATAAGAGTGCTATAAGTAATAAACTTCATAATGAAATATTTAACAACAGTATTTTATGTCACATAAACCTTGCAGCTTAAACCGTATTTACCTGTATGTTGCAGTTACTGTAAAACACACATATGCTGCGTTTCTTTACACTGTACTACCAAGCAAACTCTACCGGGATAATTGCCCTTTAAGACCAAAAGAATTGCCTTTCCTTGAGGTAAAATAGCACACAATAGCATATCTTGTTAGCTTAAACACAATAGTATAAAGCTCTACAAAATGATGAAAAGGCACCACCAATGGGTCTAAACATTAAACAGCACATGAAACAAAATTATAACAAACCTTGTGCCCTTATCAGCTGGGTGCTAACAAAAAAGACTGATTGCCGTTCACATTTTCTCGCTAAGCAGAAAAATTTTCTTCGGGTTTTTACGGCAGCTGGCATCCATTGAGTTGCATTACTGCCACCTTCAGGCTTTATTTACCCTTTGCTTTCATTCATACTAAATCTAATCCAGTCGCCCTCACAAAACCAAATATCCATTTCCTACCCTCCACACTCTCTCCATACTCCAATAAGCTTTTTACTTATCATTTCTTGTCTTTCCTCAGTAAATTTCCTGCATGTTGTAAGAATATGTTCTACTGTTTCACCCTCCTGACATTGTTCACACATTCCTGGAGGATGTTTTCCTGTAATTAAAAGTGTGCTGTTAAGATTGCTATGCCCAATTCTCAGCCTACTTATTATCACCTGCTCTTTCCTCCCCTGCTTCTTGATATACCTACTTTACTTTGGATTTCGTGTAAATGTCTCCCTTTTATTGCATTATCCCAGCTCTGTTGCCATTGTTGATTTACACTTCGACACTATGCCTTTCCCCTCTGACTTTGATGTTGACTTCAACATCACCTTTTTCAACTGCTTCTTTTGCCACCTTATCTGCTTTCTCATTTCTCTGAATTCCTGAGTTTGCAGGGACCCACAGAAATATGACAGTTTTGTATTTCAGCAATGCTACATCCGCTCCCCACTCCAATCCTGCAAGACACCTCATGACATTTATAGCTTTTTTACACTTAACTACATATCTAATATGCTCCCTCCATGTTAATCTCACAAAAAATATAATACTTTCAACTCTCTCTAAATTATTTCCATACAATTTCAAATACCATTGACTTTTCTTGTGAAGAACATAAATTTCCCCCAAAGTCCCCATTTTGTTCCCCACTTTTCGACCATCTTGCATTTTCTTAGCTACATATTCCACATTTCCCTCTTTTCCACAATGCTCCATCGTCTGCAAACAATGATCTCCCCATATCAGCTGGAATGTTTACAAATAGCAGACAAACTTCTTCCCGAGGATACACTTTTCCGGCAAGACGCATTCAAGATAAAAGCCCTGACATTAAAATTTAAGATAACGGGCCAAAAATGATCTAATTTCAGAAGATAACATATTATATGTATAAGCATATAAAACAACCAGTATTTCAAAGATGCTGAGATTAATAAAGCTCATTTACATACTGACTGGGGAATCAGGTGCAGCTGCTGCCTATAGTTGCATCCACAAGGCAGGAGGGAGAAGGGCAGTACCTGGAGAACTACAAGAGAAAGACGCACCAAAACAAAACACAGGACCCACGGCTCTAGGGCCTTAACAGCGTCACTTAAATCAGCAGTGATGAGACCAGAGTTGAGCCTGAGATGAAGGAAACTCTGGGTTTTCGGTGTCAGAGAGCGAGATCAGATAAACTCTAGGTTTGTAACCCCTGACACTTACGCTGTGAACCTGACCTGCTCGGGAGGAGGTTTACTTCAACTAACCCTGAGTTTCTCTCTGACTCCTCCCCTCCTGCGGAGCTTGAAGCGGCTGTCTGACATTTCCTCATTCAGACTGTGAATAGAGAGAGAGAGAGAGAGAGACATGGAAAGAGAGAGAGGGGAGGGAGGCAGCCTACACAATATACACACAGAGGTACAGACAGTAAAGGTGATGTTGCTATTGACTAAATGAAAAATGTATAGATATTTACAGTAGTGTTAATGATAACAATCGTAATGTTAATGATTATATTAACAATAGGACTAGTAACAATAGTTGTATCAGATTTTAACCGTCTTTTTAACTTTTTAAAGCAGTGTGGAAAGTCTGTTTTTATCTCTGGTCACAGGTGGTCGCGGTGCTGGCCCTTCAGTAAACTCCTTGGCCTCCACGACTGGCTCCAGTCCGCCTGCAGGGCTCATCGTGTGTGTTATGTGGATAATTTTAATATTTTCTGGCAAAGAATGTCTCTTTTTAAGACAGACGGACTTCACCCAAACAAACGGGGCTCAGAAATGTTAGCTGCTCACATACAGCATGTGGTGCGGTCCATACATGATTTACCTGAATGACTCATCATTCATGCAGCACACCTGGACACACCACCGCTCACTGAACAGATCTCTGCCTCACTGCCACAAACAACTGTCTCCACCTGCTGGCATGTAAAGCCGTCTGCTCCCAGCGCTGTTCCACAGACTTCTATTCCTGTCATCATCACGCATAGACCAGTAAACCGAAATGTGCACATCCCACACAGAAATAATAGTAATCTCTTAAGGATTAGGACAACTGCACCAACTCCAGCACCCAGAACAAACTCATTTAAAATGGCTCTCTTTAATGTGAGATCACTTTCAAGTAAGACTTTTATCTTAAATGATTTTATCTTGTCTGCAAATCTAGATTTTATGTTTTTAACTGAATCCTGGTTGCAAATGAATGACTATAGCCAGCTAGCTGAACTGTGTCCGCCTCAATATGATTGCTTTAGTCAACCGAGGGTCAGTGGTCGTGGTGGTGGGCTAGTGAGCGTGTATAGGAAAAATTTTAAATGTCATCAAGTACGCTGTGATGAATTTAACTCCTTTGAAGTTCTCACTCTTAAAGTTAGAGGGCTGCAACCTATCATATTTATTATAATTAACTGCCTGGAGGATTTTTATCAGAACTTCCTGAATTTTTATCTACTCTGGTTTTAAATTATGACAGAATTGTTCTTTGTGGCGATTTTAATATTCATGTTGATGACCCCAACAATGTTAATGCAACTAACTTTTTAAATATGGCCACTTCTTTTAACTTCATACAACATGGCAAAGGACAAACACATAACCGTGGTCATACACTGGACTTGGTTTTTACCCTGGGTGTCAGCATTTCCTCTGTGGAATTAGTGGAAATGACCATATCTGACCACAGATGTATTGTTTTTAGCTGCGATTCGCCTGTTACTCATGCCGCCTCACCAAGCTCCGTGTGTTCTCTTATCTTTAATGAACAAAGTGTTTCAAAGTTTTGCACATTCTTTCAGAGCCAAAGCCAACACCTGTCTGATTCCAACACCAACAATCTGGTCGATCACTTCAATCATATCTGCTTGTCATCACTAAATATTACTGCTCCTCTAAAGGTTAGGCCTACGTCTAAAGCTAGTAAGCAACCCTGGATAAATGACAGCATTCGCAGCCTCAAAAGGGAATGCAGGAAAGCAGAGCGCAGATGGAAAAAATCCAATCTCCAAGTCCATTACCTCAGTCTGAAGGATTTATTAATTAACTACAATAAAATGGTTAAGGATATGAGAACACACTATTTTTCTGAACTCATTACTACACATAAACACAATCCCAGGTTTCTGTTTAAGACTGTGGATCAGCTGGTAAACCCAACCCCTCCTTGTGCCTCAGCTGGAAGTAATGATGACTGTGAATTGTTTTTATCTTATTTTACCAATAAGGTGGTATCAATCAGAGCCTCTTTTACCCCTGCGGCCTCTTACTCAGAGGTTCCTCACCAGCAACAAGAGAGTTTTAACCAGTTTTATCCCATCGACTTGTCTGAACTTTTAAAACAGTATCACAAATGCGAGTGTCCTCCAGCCCACTTGATGTTATACCTACAAAGTTTCTACTGAAAGTAATAGATTCTGTTGGGCCCCATTTGATCTCTGTTTTCAACAGCTCCCTATCTACTGGTTGTGTCCCTGATTATTTTAAAACGGCTTGCGTGAACCCACTTTTAAAGAAACCTGGTTTAGATCCCTCCCTCCCACATAATTTTAGACCAATTTCAAAACTGCCTTTTATTGCAAAGATTTAGAAAGTATTGTGTCCAAACAGCTGCTCACTGAACTGGAAAATAACAAATTATTTGAAAAGTTTCAATCTGATTTCAGGAAGTACCACAGCACTGAGACTGCCCTGCTTAAAGTCACCAATGACCTTTTAATGTCTGCTGATGAAGGTATGTGCTCAGTCCTTGTACTCCTGGACCTTAGCGCTGCTTTTGATACCATTGATCTCTGGTACTGCCCTAGAATGGTTTTCATCCTACCTGTCAAATAGGAAGTTTTGTGTGTCTGTAAACAACTATGTCTCCTCGTTCTGTCCAGTTAAATATGGTGTGCCTCAGGGGTTGGTCTTAGGACCCATTTTGTTTTCCTTGTATCTGCTTCCCCTTGGACATATTATCCATAAACATGGCATTTCTTTTCATATTTATGCTGATGACACACAAATATACTTGCCCATCAGATCCACAGACCCTGGAATGCTGAGTTCACTTAACAACTGCCTTTGTGAAGTTAAAAAATGGATGTCAAATAATTTCCTCCAGCTGAACTCAGACAAAACAGAAATCCTGGTCATCGGATCTCAGCAGATGGCAAATCAAATACTGCCATCTGCTGGTTCCCTAGTAAATCACATTAAGCCTGTGGCAAAGAACCTTGGTGTTTGGTTTGATAGTAATTTAAATTTCGAGCAGCACACCAAAAAGCTTGTTCAATCATGTTTTTATCACCTTAGAAATATAGCAAAAATTCGAACTATGTTAACTTTTAAGGACACCGAGACCATTTTACACGACTTCATCTCATCACGCCTGGATTACAGCCTTTTCACCTGTTTAACCCAAAATCTATTGATTGACTCCAGACTGTCCAGAACTCAGCTGCCAGGCTTTTAACCAGAACAAAGAAATATGACCACATTACTCCTATTTTAGCTTCATTACACTGGCTCCCAGTATGTTTTAGAATTGACTTTAAAATTCTATTGATCACTTTTAAAGCTCTTCATGGCCTCTCGCCTTGTTATATTTCTGACCTTTTAGTCCCATACGCACCAGCACGTAACTTGAGATCCTCGGGCAGAGGTCTGTTGTCTGTTCCAGAGTCTCGACTGAAAACTAAAGGGGACAGAGCGTTTGCTGTCAGGGCCCCGAGGCTCTGGAACAGCCTGCCCAAGGAAATCAGGTCGGCTGAGTCACTGAACTCTTTTAAGTCCCTTCTTAAAACATACTTTTATAGGAGAGCCTTTCCCAATCTTATTTGACTTTATTTTATCCCTTTTATTTTATTCTATTTTACTCATTTTATATTTATCTTAAACGTGTATTTTAGTCTTTTCTTTTCTTTATCTTGTATTGTTTTTGTATTATTGTTTTTTGGGTATTATTGTCTTTACACTTGTTAAAGCACTTTTTAACTTGTTTTTGAAAAGTACTCTACAAATAAGATTATTATTATTATTATTATTATTGTAGAAGAGGGTGTCGAGCAGGAACACGGGGGCAGCAGGTGACCCGCAGCCACAGATCCAGACTCCACAGCTCCAGAGCCAGAAACACCTGCAGGAAGTGATAGGAGGAGAGAGGAGAGGGACGAGAAAGCACGAGACTACGGGAAAGGGAAGTAGTTGAGTTAGTAACATGCAATAATGGGATGCATAGAGAGGTAGAGACAGAATAGGAGAGAGGAGCTCAGTGCATCATGGGAAATCCCCCGGCAGTCTAGGCCTATAGCAGCATAACTAAGGGATGGCTCAGGACTCACCTGAGCCAGCCCTAACTATAAGCTTTATCAAAGAGGAAAGTCTTAAGCCTACTCTTAAATGTGGAGATGGTGTCCGGTTCCACAGGAGAGGAGCTTGATAGCTGAACGCTCTGGCTCCTAGTCTACTTTTGGAGACTCTAGGAACCACAAGTAACCCTGCATTCTGGGAGCGCAGTGCTCTGGTGGGGCAGTAAGGTAACACCTGTTCTGAAACCAGAAACTCTGAGTTTGGCAGCTCAGCGTTCATCAACCCAGAGTTCAGGTTGAACCTGCTTTCTGAAACGGGGCTCTGGTGTTTTCCCACTAGCTCCCTTGTGCGGATGTTTGCTGTCTAACAGCCTGTGAGTCCGAGACAAAGGGTGTCTAAGCGTTCCCAATCCCTCCTTCACTCACAACACAAGGTCAGGTAAAACAGTGGTTCAGTTGCTGATTGTGCACGCATGTTGATCTTTTACTGTACTGATGCAGGCACCTTCCTGCAGTGGCTGGCGTGTATTCACGTAGTTCTTTCAGCCTCCACAAACACCACAAAACCTGGTGGGAGACTGTGCAGCGGCTGTGTTGCTGGAGAGGTTATGCACATTTTCTGCTGATATTGTGATAAAAATATTAAATCAACTATTTGATTTTATGATGTGGTGTCAGCTGGTGGGCTCCTGAGCCTACTCTTGATCCCACAGTTAATTATTTCTTTGACAAAGGTTTGGTCTTCACATCACATCTTTATTTCTAGTTCAGTTTAGCACATGAACACATTTTTGTTCTTGAGCGGCATTAAATCCACATTAACCATAAAATGTATGAATGAATAACAAACTGCTACCAACAGGAAAACAAATCAAACAATGTAAAGATTTACAAACTGTTACAATACATTTAATGACACATGACCAGAACCAGAGAGAGGAAATGAAAATCATATATACAGTGTGTGTATATATGAAGTCACTAGGTGGCTCCACCTCTTAGCAAAAGACAAAAGCAATCAGAGTGCAGATCTATTTCTATTTATGGATATCTATTAGTCTGCAGAAAACAAAGTGCTGTGATTTAAAATACAATAAACAATTCAAACGATATGTAATTTAATGTGAAATAGCTTGAGATAAGTGATATGATCTTAAAATGTTTAAATGCAAACATTTTATAGTTATATAGTTAATTGTGATTTATTTCTGTGGATGATTTCTTTTTTTTGCTTTCTGTGTCTCGGAGCTTCTGGAGGTTTCCTCTGTTTTTACAACAGCTTTAAAGAATCGCACACTCTCTATCTTTTAACCTTTTAATCTCCTCAGCTAGACCCCTGATTGTCTTGGCATATCCATCCTGCAACTTGTTTATTTCCTCTCTCAGTTCTCTCTGATGCTGTTCCATTAATTTTTTCCTCTCCATTTCTATCTCCTCCCGCTCTCTCTTTCTTTGTTCCCTTATCTCTTCCCACAACCTCTTTCTTTCCTCACTCATCTCCTCCTTCTCCCTCTCCCTCTCCTCCTCTCTCTCTCTCTCCCCTCTCTCTCAGCCTGGAGTTTCTCAGTAATTTTCTTCATTAGTTTTTCATATTTTTCATTAATTTCCCTTTCAAGTTTCTCTCTTTCTTCCCGTATTTGCTCTTCCTTTTCTTTCAGGATGCGTTGTTCCTCCTCTTTGATTGCCCTCTCGGCCTCTTGGAACATCTCGTTGGTGTAGTGGTGTCCTCCGTTCTTCTGGACTACATCTCTGATCTTCTGGAGGAGCTCAGTGACCTGAGAGCGATCCTCCTTCTTCCTGTTGTTGAAGAGGTGGTACTGGCCGTTACATCTGGCCACGAGTTGTTGAAGCTCTGAGCTTTCATTCAAGAAGTCCTCGATAGTTGTGTCTTCAATAAGGTCACCGTGGGTAAAGAGAACCATGCTGTATCTGTCTGCAGCCTGGCCAAAGATTTCTTGAATCTTCTCCACTGTCTTCATTTCCTCTCCAGTGAATCTGCCCAGTCTGATGACCACCAGGAACACATGGGGTCCAGGAGCAGCAAAAGAGATGCACTGGCCCACATCTTTAGTTGTTTTTTCCATGTCAAACCTGGTGTCAAACAGACCCGGGGTGTCAATGACAGCAACCTGTTGCCCACCCACCACAGCTGTGCCCTTACCACAGTCTACAGTCATAGACTTTGCGCTGAACTTTGACACAAAGCACTCTCGTCCCAGGATGTTGTTTCCAGTGGCACTCTTCCCAGTTCCAGTCTTCCCCACCATCACTATCCTCACCTCCTCCTCATTTGTTATGGTGTATCCTGTGTAGAACAACGAGTGTCAATGAATACAAACCTACATCAGTTTTTACTTTAAACTGCCCCCCTCTGTCAGCTGAAAGTGAAACTGCATGGTGGAAACCATCTGTCCAGGTGCCCCTCAGTGCAGTGTGCAACTCAGGGAGTTGGGTTTGTAAGTAAAGTCAAATTAGAGCAACTCACTTCCCATTTTTTTTGGTTGGGTCCATTTGAGATTTATGCCCAGTGTAACAGGCATAAGCAAAAGTACACAGTGAATTTAACGTTTCATTTTTGAGGATCATAAGAAATATTATATAAAGTGGAACCGGCAACACACTCCTTACAAAACGTGTTTTGCTTCAACATTAATTTGGTGGTTGTTTGTGCTTTACATCTCAAACTCTGTGGTTACAGCCAGAACATTAACAGGCAAATCGATTAGATAACTGTAGACCAGCATATAGACCTGCACTGTGCATCAGTGCGGTAGTTTGTTATATAAGATCTTGGAAGATGTAATTTTGTTTTGCATCCAACATGTTCTTTTATTGACCTTTGTTACATTCAACATCAGCCTCAGGTGGACCAAACAGGAAGGAAAGGTTGGGGAGCTGCATTAAACAGTGTTTAAGTGCATTTCACACTGCAGTGAGGGGATCCTCGTCCACTCTGACATCTGTTTTAAGATTCCTTAGGTTTTAAAAATTAACCTTTTCCTTTTACAAAATAAAGAGGTTTATAATAACCATTTATTTTTTTGTCAGATTATCATCTTGGAAGATAAGTTAAGTAAGACATTATTCAAATAATTAATATGTCTTTGCTGTTCTACCCTGTATAAATCTATAGAAGTATTTATCTACAGGAGATAGCCCACAGTAGTACATTATCATCATAAACTAATTGCACTTTAAAACATGGATACAGTATCATAACTTACCTGAGTTGCTGGTCATGCTTGAGTTGTAATAGTTGCTGGTCTTGTTTGAGTTAAAGAGTTAAAGCAGCTGCAGCTGAAATGAAAACACAGTTCAGAGTGTCTGCTGCCTTTTTAAAGTGGCCCAAAACACACCCAGCAAATATAGATGCGCAACATAATGAAAGTGAAACTGAAAGCTTGATGTGTTTGTTTCGGTCAGAGGGATATTTTGAGAATATCAGGGGTTTTCCTGGCTCGAAATGAGGCGCAGGCAGGGACGTGCACAGACATTGGTGAGGGCACTTCTCATAATTAGTTATGAGTATTATAACTCACCTATCTATGTTTGCATCTGTAGAATTATTCTAAATTAACCAAAACAAGTTCATCTGCATATTTACCCAGAACATTTCAGAGGAAAATAATTTTAATGTAAGTCATTAACTGGGGAAGTTCTGTGGTGATATGTTTTAGTTATTTTCTTTATCCCATTCACCTGCAGTGACTTGTCACATGTGTGCAAATAGGCGCATATCAATGTGTTTTTACTCCCATGGTTTTCCTATCAGATGAAATGTTTTCCCTGAGCCACCGCAGTGCAGCTGTACGGCTGACAGGTTAGTTCTGTTCATTTTAAAATTCCCAGTAGAGGTGAGACACAATATCAAGTTTCACTGCATTTTCCTATAACCACTTTACACCCAGGAAACTCTCTTATATCAACGGATTTGATCACTCATATTAAATTCCAACAGTGAGGGAGTATAGCTCTGTAATCTATTGACTTTAACCACATGATAACTGCCACCTATTTCCAGGAAAAACACCTAAAACAACAAACCCAGCATAAATCGGTAACAACTCCTTAACCATTAGGTCTAGATGCAATTCTGGTCTTCTGTGAAAGGTCAGAAGCTAAGGAATATGAATCAACTGTAAATTAAAATATTTTAATACAGTGGTAATAAAGTGGTTATAGGAAAATGCAGTGAAACTTGAAATTGTGTCTCACCTCTACTGGGAATTTTAATACATCAGACAGGAACAGAACTGAACAAGAACTAATCTCCACAAGACACAAACAGACAGGACCAGATCAAAATGCAAACACACACCGAGACTGGATACAAGACGACAGACAGAAAGGACTGAAACCCAAAACCCAACACAGATACTGAACTGATCAAAAAATCTAAAGTCACAGAGAGCAGTTCTGTTCCTGTCTGATGTATTAGTTTCTGTACCATCATGCTTGGGTTCTGTCTGTCTGCTAGTTGAATTTCTCTGCCAGTTTTGTTATTTAATCTGATTTTGATCATTCTGCTTTAGTCTGTTCTGTCCTCATTATTAAGCTTATTATTTGGTTGCTTGTTTGTCCAGTTCTAGTTGGCCTCTAGTTTTTTTGTTGTTTGATTCTTGGCCTTTTTGCAACCTGTTAGTCTCAGTCTGTTGTCCTTGGGTTTGTTTGTAGCCTGTCTGTATTGTTGGTGATTCAGTCTGTTTGCTGTCGTGTATCTTAGGTTTAGTTCTGCATTGTAGTTCTGTGTCTTAGTTAATGTCTGTGTTTAGTGTTCAGTAACCTGTATTCTGTCTGTTACTCCAGAAGCCCTCTGCCTGCCTGTCTCTCTGTTTTCCCCTGCTGTCTCTCTGCCTGCCTGTCTCATTAGCCTTGATCCCTGTCACCTGTGTTGCTCCCGCCTGCTCGTTAGTCCCTGGAGTATTTATGTTTGGTGTTTCCGTTCAGTCCTAATCCGGTCATTGTAGTGTGTGTACGCTCTGTCGTGAATCGTGTCAAGTGTTCTGCCTGTCTGTGTCGCCTGCATCTTTAATCAGGACATGTCGTTTAAGTCTCACATTAAGTAAATTTCAAGGACTGCATTTTTTCACCTACGTAATATTGTGAAAATCAGGAACGTTCTGTCTAAAAATGATGCAGAAAAACTAGTCCATGCATTTCTTACTTATAGGCGGGATTACTGCAACCAGGCTGCTCAAAAAGGTCCATTAAGACTCTTCAGCTGATCCAGAATGCTGCAGCACGTGTTCTGACAGGAACCAGGAAAAGAGATCATATTTCTCTTGTTCTAGCTGTTTTCCTGTAAAATCCAGAATATAACTTAAAATCTCCAAAGATCTTTTGAATTTTTAGATTATGAAATGTTTTTGTCTCTTAGACAGCTGTGGAATGAAGCAATTTCATTCAAACTCTTTTTTCTCCTTTTAGCAAATGCAATACAAAACTTTAATAAACAGGACAAATAAACCTCCAAAGCTTATTGTCATTTCAAGGATGACTGCTTGTTCAACCACACATGCAGAGTTTGTCTGGCTGCTCAGGTCGGGACTCTTCACTTCTTGATTTATTTATTGATCTGCAAAACACAACAATCAATACTTACTTCCAACATGGTGCTAAAATGCTGAAAGACAACACATAAAATAGAACAATATCATCTTAAACCATGTAACATCATTGGAAAAGAAACACAAATACAACAAGAAAAATTACGAGGCCAAGTAGAACCTGTCCCATTAAATAAGATGCCCCAGAGATCGCAGACCCGACAGACTTGCGTTTCTCATGGTACAAAAATATAAAAAACTTAATTATTTTTCACTGGTTTTGTAGGGTTCTTGCACAAAGACTTGGTCCAATTAAAGCAGCAATGTGGCTTCTCTGATTGCTTTTTCTTTCCCTCCTTCAGACTGATCTGAAATGACTGAGACTCCATGTTGTTTCCCTCCAGGGCTGTTCCCATTTTTCACAACACGTTCTTAGAAGAAGATGACATGCTGTTCTGTACTCTGCTGCAGGTCTGTCAAACACCCTGCAGTTATAATTTACTTTGAACTGTCAGATTATCATGGAGATTCACTGAGCTGTATTACAGAGTAAAAGTCCGGCAATCGAGGGATTTTAGCACATATGAGAAGGTATTTCCTCTCTTTTACCTTCACTACAATGTTCATCCTTTAAATAAAACATCACACCAGACAGGAGTCATGAATTATTAATACATTTAATGGAGGAGTGTTGGTCAGTAGTTTCCTGTTGGTCAGTGCTGTGTGTAGTTGTTGTAAATGTCAGTAGAGTCTGAGTGCAGTGCAGTCTGTCTCCCGGTGTCTCGCTGGCCACAGCAGCTTGTCTCTGGACTGTCTGCTGGGCTTCCCTGGACCAGGTGTCGGCCTCTGCTCACCTGCAGACAGGTTTGTTTAGTCGTGACTGATTTCCAAACAAAATACAAATTCATACGATCAAACGGAAGGAACCAATACGCCTCACAGTATAACAGGTATGACTGAGATGCACAGTAACATGGAGGATTATCATTCATTATATTATAAGACACAAAACCAAACAGCTCCGACAAGATGTAATTCTACGAGTAGTCATATCTTACAGTATATGCTAATTGTGATATTGTACTTATTCTAGAAAATATGCTTAAGTGTTTATGGATCAAATGATCAGATGAGAGTGTGTTTACTTTATCACAAACTCTATCAACAGATATTCATTCATTATTCTGATATTCTGTTTAAATAAAAAGGTGCAGTTCCTCACTGTGACCACAGGAGGGCAGTGAACTCTCATTATTGTGTTTTTAATCCTCTTCCCACTTCCAAAAAGTAAATAAAAGTGGCTGAAACACTCACAACATAGTATTTACTGCAGGGGTTTATGATGGAATATATTACATGCAGGTGTTCATATTGTTTGAAAACAACATATTCATTAATTGACACATCCAAATAATTATACTAAGTATATATACCTGTCATATTCCAACTGAAGAGTGTAGTTTTTATTGATCATGTTTATTGTTCTCTGTGGTTGCAGTTACATGTCAGTCAGGTGAACTTTAACCCGTTCAGAGTGACCTTTAAAACAATGTCAGGTGTAACTGTGACCTTACTGATCACCCTGTGTGTCTTGTAAACAGAAAGATAGTCCCAACACAAATCAATCAAAACCTCTGATTACACCAGTGTAGCAGAGGCTGATACAAACAACGAGTAAAGAGAGACTGAGTTTGTCTTTTGATCACCCGTCAGTATGTTGTGTTGGTGCCACTGTGTTGGTTTGCCGCCAGCCAGATGTGCCGGACCGTCGGTTACTGGGAGCGTGTGCTCTGTTTTGTAGGTGGTCCAGTACTCAGATGGATCCCGTGGATTGGTGATCTCTCTGACGGCCAGGCCACTGGGCCACTTAGTACCGGGCCAAGTTTTCCACCTTCAGGTCGGTCCTCTGGAGCAAAACAGAGAAACAGAAGGGTGTGAGAGACCAAGGCAGAAAAAGTCAGGTGTTTCTTAAAAAGGGGGTTTTTATATACTGAATAAACTACTTACTTAACTACCAGTGGTGCAGATACATCCTATACATCCAATCAATAGAAAGACTATAAACATCCACAGGGAACCTTTAATGGAGCACCAGAGTCAATATTTAACATTTAATAAAGAAATTTTAAAATTAATCTGATTTAAACAGTGTTCTGACTAAGAATCTGGCTTCTCTAAATCCCCCCAAAATTATATATTTTTATATTGTGTACAACAATGACTATAGGCATCTGAAATCCACATCAGCATCCACTATATTTACCTATTCCTGTTACATCTTGGTAAGAGAGATCAAGCCCTCTTGTGAAGATGATTCAGTAATCTCCCAGTTAGTTGGAGACAAACAACAAAAAACAAATCAGATACGCTAATCATATCAAATATTTCACCAAAGAAAGAACCTAAATAAAACACTTTTAAACAACTCAAGAGCTGCCTGAAACCATAACAACACATTAAAGGGATACATGGAGGGATGTTTTCCAGACGCTGTAACCGTACCGGAGTGATGTGTTTGGGCCCGTGCACCTCTTTACTGTGTGACTGCAGGGGGCCCTGCAGGGGGCCCTGCAGGGGGCCCTGCAGCTCTGTGGTGCTGTTACTGAGATCCAGCCTGGTCTGATGCTGTGAGGGGAAGCTGGGATCCCTCAGGTGGAAGACGAGAGGACGTCCGTCTGCTGACCTTCCAGAATAACTCTGACAAACATGAAGAGGCCGCCGCAGACTGAGTATCATCCCCAAACGTATCTGACTCCAACATTAGTTAGTTACAGCGGGCTGACCTGGGTGTGGGTGGTGGCGTAGCAGGGTGCTGTGTCGCCCAAGTTTAGGGTGCTCTGATGCAGATGCCTCGGCCTGGAGGTCTTTGCTTTACTTTGACACGGCCAACCACGGTGGGCCAACTCTGGTCACTGTCCATCCGACTGTCACGTCTACACCTCAGCCAAAGCTTCTGAGGGTTTCTTTTCTTACCTGAACTACAGAATATAAACCAGAAGTATAATTACTGATGCTTTAGGAAATTTACCATATTAAATCCCTTTCATGCATGACTTATGACAGCCTTTGTCAGAATTTTTTTCCTATGTGTTTTTATTACTCTTTAGGCATGCAAAATAAAATTAGAAATTCATTTTTTTTACATGTCCACTGAGGTGGACAGCGTGGACAGGCTTTAACTGAATAAATATTTATTTAACAAACCAATGAATTAAATGATATAGTATGTGAAAACTATGTTTTTAATGCTGTTAAACTAATGGGGTCACATATTTTAACATATACAGTTTAATGCAATGCAAAAACGTTGAGCCTCACTTCTGACTCCTCAGCCTCTTTCTCAGCATCCTCAGCTCCACTGTCACTGCTGCTAGCATTTGGGGTTTCTCCTATTTCTGGCAGCCATTCATCATCACTGCCACTAGTATTAGGTGCGTTTGACTTCATTCGGCGCTGCGCAGCACTGATTTAACGTGATGCATGCTGGGCTTGAAATAAGGCATGCTGATTAGAAATTGTGTCCGACTTTTGTCAGAGTTGCTAAACGTCACCATGTCACATGACATTAAAACCTCACGGGAGCAAGGCGACCGCAGTTGCTTTTCCACAGCTGCACCAAGTCGGAACCACACTTTTGCTTGGTCTCGCGACATTTTTCTACGTAAATGCCACGAGATCAGTCATAGTAAGCTCACGCAGGTAGAATGTGTCCTACTTGACGGCGGCGCTTTTATTCCCCGCCCCTGCAGTCACCTGTATGGAGGACCGATCCTGACACAGGCAGAAATGCATACAGAAATGTAAAAAGGACAGGCAGAAATAAATACCATGGGTTAAAATAAATAAGGTAAAAAAATACAAAGGAAGAATAAAATAGACAAAAATATTAAAACACACACATAAATAAATACATTTAAAAAATAAGTAATTAATAAATAACGTTGAAGATTATAACGGAGAATAAATAAATAAGGTAATTATTACAAAGGTGAATAAGTAAAGGCACTAATTAAAATATATACGTTTATGTCTCCTTGTAGAATTTAATTACTACCTACATTTATTTATTTACTTTATTTTTTGTGTATTTAATTGGATGCTTATTTATTTATTGAGCATTCATTTATTTCTGTATTTATTTCTGACTGTGTCAGGATCGGTCCTCCATACACCTGCAGCTCACGTTAGACTATCAAGTCAGCGAAAGTCTGCTGCCGTCATCTCGAACGCGCCTAATATCCTGACTTGATTCTGATTGAATCTGCTCTGCTATCCTGAATGCCTTTCTATTACTTACTGCAAGACACTAAATGATACTCACATAATGGAACTAATCTGCACAAAATATTGTTTTTGTTACAAAAACTGCAAGTGTAACATAAAACCATCTTGGTTTTGACGAATTTAAGTTGCACTTACAACGGCTCACCAGAGGGTGGCAGTGTATGGCATGACACACTAGCGTCCACTGATGTGCAACTATCAGAACCTCTGCCCATTCAAGTGAATGGCTTTTGAATAGCTGTCCACTGTGGTGAGCACTATGCGTGAAAGGGATTTATATAAATTTGAAGTTGCAATTAGGAAAGGTGGGGCTTATTGTTTTCACTATATATAAAGCCAGGTGATATTCACCAAGTGATCAATACAGTTTTAAAAATCAAACATCATAATTAATTTGTTTATTAAATTTTCTAATATTAATCAGACAAAAAAGTTAAAGTTACATAACATTTCCCTCTGAATTAGGCGAAACCTTCATCGTCTGCTCTGTTGTTACTTACCTGAGATAAGTCAGGCTGCTTCTGTGGAAACTTTGCTGTCACGGTGACGGGAAAACAAGAACGCTGCGGTGAGACTTTACACTACTGCACTACACAACTTGTATTGTGAACATCAGATTCTGGAGGCCTGCTTTGTTCTGCCTCATTGAAAAGTCTATATACGTACTAAAGGTACTAGGCTTGGGTACTTCCATGTACATGTCTTTAAAAGGCACTTTGAAACTGCCTTTTGTCTGGATAAGTCTTTTATAAATGTGGCTTATCTAATTATTTATTATTTATTTGATTTGATTTGAATCAGCACTTCATGTTTCTATCAAGATATTATTTTCTTTTGTTGAGGAAAAATTTTTTACTTAATTTTACTCGTGCATATTTGTTGTAAAAAGATTTTATCATAATAGTTTTGAATGTTCTACCTCTAATTTGTGCAGTAATCCACTTTTTTTGTTTGTTCTGACCATAAAGAATAATTTATAACCACGTTTTAACCATCTGGTTTCGTCAACTTTCACTCAGGAGCAAAAATTAGCCTTGATGTTCTGTTGTGGTAACGTTACACTTCCCTAAAACTACAGGTCTCTCAAGATGTAGCTCTCAGACGACAAAAGTAGCAATTTCTATATTTTTATTTCTTTATATTGCATAAATAAGTTTTACAAATCAAAGTGCTCCTATAGATCAAGAGTGCATTTGTACACAATTATTCTTCCAATTTGATTATGATCATATACCACCTCATGCCCCCTCCTCCAAACATACACAAACATGATCACCATTACACGAAAAGACCATGCAGAAACAAACAAACAAACAAACAAAGCAAAACAAAAAACCCCACACAATCTCACATAATCACACAAACACTCACTCAAGGGAAGCAGCTTTGTTCACATACAGTGTGTTATAATATTATTAGTTACAAACAGACGTTAAACATTACAATTTTGAGCTGATATATTCATGTACTTCTGAAGTTTAATTTGTGAATCAACCTCAATATATAATAATAATAATAAAAGTATAATAACCTTTCAAGAGGGATTTCATTCAGGAGTTTTTCAAAGCAAAGTGACACATCCGGGGGCTCCTCAGCAACCCACATCTGAAGAAGACTTAACCTTCCAGCGTACCAGCAGATTCTCAATATATCCTTGTACCTGCTGACAGCCTGCTTTGTTGTGTCATCTACATTTACTTATTTGGCACACGCTTTTATCTAAAGCAAATCTCATTTCAGGAACAACATACAAGCATTAACAGAGCATCAATACAGCAGGAGATCTACAAGTGACAATACTTGTAAGAGCTATTACCGCATACAGCATCAACGGGTAAATACTTAAGGGAAGAAGAAGTAGGGGAAGTAGTTAATGAATAGTGCAATCAATACAAGAGAACTGTAAGAAGAAGAGCGGCACAGGAAGTGCATGTTAGAGTTTGGAGGTGTTATGAGAGGAAGTGTTCTCTGAAGAGTTTTCAGGAGTTTCTTGAAGCCCCTGCTCTGATGGCACGTGGTAGCTCGTTGACACAGATGAGAACAGCCGGGACTGGGATTGCTTTGTGTGGCCAAGGGGGAACATAAACTTGTGTTATGGAGTTTAGGTGACGTTAGATGTGTGCAGACCCAGCAGTCACTCTATAGGCTATATCCTAATCCTAAAATACAAATGCCTGGGTTTAATGTTGACTTGCAAGCGATAAAAACCATCAATTCTCATTTTAAGATCACTCCAAAATTGCACAATCTTTAGGCATTCCCAGGAAGCATGAAAGTAAAAAGTAGCATTGTTGATACTAAACCGGTGGGAGGCAGCAATGCGCTAAACAGTCTGCCGGAGGAGAAGAAGAGGAGCTACGCTGCTGCCCGCCCCCTTGTGTCCGCAGGAGGAACTGCAGTAACCGGGCTGTGACAGCTGCCCCGGTCCCCGGTGTCCCTTCATCCGTCTCAGTCCGTAAACAACGCGCTGGTTGATCAATTGCTTTATAGGTTAAAGGCCGTTTCATCGAAATGTCGTCTAACGGTAAGATTCAGTACAAAACGTCGTTTAAAACCAGTGAAGGTTAAAAAGCTCGTGAGCTAATACTTAAATATCTTCACCAAGACGCAACGTTAACTTAACCGGCGAGCTAAGTTAGCTAATGTCAAGACGCTAATTAACGTATATATATATATATATATATATATGTTTATATTAACGTTACTGTTTGAAGGCCGGACGTTTTCATATTCAAATCACTCGGTTACATTAGAGAAGGAGAGAAGCAGAAGGAGAAGGAGCTGCCCGAGTGGAGGAAAAACCTACCGGCGAGCTAACAGTTAGCATGAAGCTAAGTCGGTCGCTTGTGCTACTGACCCAGTTTGAGAGATGGCGGCTCCGCCTCTCTGCCTCTCTGCCTCTCTGCTGCTCTCAGGCTGCGGGTTTAACTCGGTTCGGTTCAGATGATGTTTAACATTAACGCTTATTATTCTTATTAACGAAAGCACATCACGTTAAACTCAACAAAACGGCGTTAAATTAAAGAAAGCTGCTTGAAAATTTGGCTCGGGATGCATCAAACCACGTTTCGTAACAGCTTCATCTGTATTACAGTTATTATTAGACTGCTGGTTGGTCCCATTTTATTTATGTGTAACAATAACAGACTATAAAACGTGTCTCATTTCATTTCTTTTGCGTAGCTCATATTTGCCAAACAGGAACCAGCATACAACTGGATGTTTTATTATTATTATTTAATCATATGTTGAGGGTGATTCCGGTGTGAGTGAAGCTCTGTATCATTTGGATTACTCTTATTAGATATGTGCTTTACTAAAAAAGACTAATCTAATGCGTATGTATATATTTAACACTCAGTTTTGTTTATTCCATAGATTATTCCCAGACGTCTGCCCAGGGGTAAGTAATGTTATACTCAATCATAAACCAGTTCTTTTCCAATATGGGGAGTTTATGCATGAGATTTTTAAGACTTGTTTACGTATATCAATATCATACTTCCTGTATAATACGTCAAGAGCTCCTATCTTTCTCATATAAACACCTCGACTACAAACATACATTTGGGTTAAGGCAAGGTTTGTATATTCTTGGTAAGTTATGGAAAAGCGATGTGTTCATGTTTGGATGTTTTATTTTTTTTTTACCTCTTGCAGCTATGGGTCCTACGGTGGTGGAGGAGGTGGTGGTGGTGGAGGCGGCGGCGGCGGTGCTAACCAGGGCTATGGTCAGTCTTCTGGTCAGAGTTATAGCCAGCAGGGCTATGGAGGCTACAACCAGAGCTCTGACAGCAGCTCCGGCTCTTACAACCAGGGAGGATATAGCAGCTATGGTCAGCCCCCGTCAGGTAGAGGAAGATTCAATAACGGCCCGAAACCACGCTGTTCTTCTGTTGCACACTGTGGTGTAACTTTAATTCCATGTGCTGCTGTATCCTTTCTTCTCCCAGGAGGATACAGCTCTCCGCCCTCTAACCAGGGGGGCGGCAGCGGCGGCGGTGGTGGTTATAATCATTCCAGTCAGCCCTATAGCTCTGGAGGCTACAACAGCAGCAACCAGCCTTCCAACATGAGCTACAACCAGCAGTCATCATTCTCTGGGTACAGCCAGCAGCCACCTTCCTCTTCCTCCTCTGCAGGGTAAGACACAGTCAGCTTCTGCTTCTCTACTTTTAATTTGTTATGCCCCATTTGGACAGTAAAGTAGAAATTACGGAGGGATGTAGGTGATGAAATATGAGCATAAACGGGCTAACTAATTTTCACTCATCAGGAATTTATTCTTTCTATAGCAGATAACCAAGTTACACTAGCCATCAGGAAATTCCTCTAAGTTTAACTGGACTTCCTAAACACTGATTTATTTATAAATCACCATATTAAAACCCTGTTAAATATGCAGTCAGAACGCATGTATGACTCACAGCTCACAGTTACCTGTTGTCGTAGTACTGAAACGTACTTTCTGGCATGCGATTCCTTCTGATGCACATTAGTCAGGTATAGCAGCTGTCTGAGGAACTAACGGAACGATTTGTCAATGTAAACAGAGCTAAAAGATGCAAAAAGATCTCTATGAAGGGGTGTAGATGTGTGTAGCTTTGGTTGATGTGTTATCTGCTTCTCTTCTCCCCACCTTCAACAGATATGAAGGTAACTCGCAGGCCCCTGGCTACAACCAGCCACCGAGCAGTGGACAGAGTGGAGGTGGTTACGGCAGCAGTGGCGGTCAGACTGGTGGCTATGGGGGCAGCGGGAGCCACCAACAACCACCCCAACACGGAGGAGGAGGTCACTACAACCAGCCTCCAAGCTACAACTCCCCCCCGCCACAGAGCTACAGTCAGCAGAGCCAGTATGGCCAAAGTGGAGGTAAGGGATGTGTTTATATTCTCTTTTTTTAATGCACTTTTGCAAGTGAGAAGAACTTAACATGAACTCACCAGGGAACAAAAATGACCATTTCTTTATTTGAAAAGTAGTTCCAGAGAAAATTGTTTACAGTCAGGTCTGTGGGTATTGTTGTTACTATTTCAAATGTAAGTTTTCAGTCCTTACGCACCTCAATATCCCCTCATTTCCACTTCCTTCACCTCAACATGCACTGTATCTACGGTATCAGGTTTGCCCTCAGGCTGCTTGATGTCGAGTGAAATTTAATTTGGACCCTGATTTGGCATATTCTGCAGATTATTTCACAGAAAACACAAAAATTTCCACACACTGCTTCTGAAATGTCTATTCTGATAGTGTGATTGTTACTCAGAAAACTTTGAAAATTAGTTTGAACAGCCTAAGTGTACCAGCCACACAGTTATTCACAGTGACTTGGATTACTATTGTTTTTCCATTACCAGCACCGACTCGACTCGGTTTGGCCGTGCGCCGTTTTCTATTGCAGATAGTACCCCTCAGTGTAGCTGGTCCTCATAGCTTTGGTTTTCACAGTACAGTGTTGGCGTGTGTGTGGAGCACTCACACGGGTAAATCTGTTGACATCTGATTCTCTCTCTCTCAGGATATGGAGACGAAAGCCCACCATTGAGCGGAGGAGGAGGTGGAGGGTATGACAGTCCTGATGGAGGTTACTTAGGTCAGGATGGCCGTGGTGGCAGGGGCCGTGGGGGTGGATTTGGAGGTCGCGGTGGTGGCGGATATGATCGCGGTTTTGACCGAAGCAGCCGAGGGGGGACCAAGAGGAAGAGGAGGCATGGGGTAAGTTTTTTAAAAAGCCTCCAGTGTCCCATGTTATCAGTCCTGTTTTACTAGGTCCTCTGGACTTATGAAAGTGCTCTGAATCTGAGTGCAGTGATGCATGTAAATGTTTCCTCACCTTTTGGCTACATGTGGAACTGTGTAGAGGAAAATTAAATAGGAGAGAGAGAACTGTTCCACGTTCATAGCTACATGCTGAAGCAATTGAGAGGTGCGAGCTGATGTGTCAGAATTTCCCCTCCCACTTGCTTTTGAGGAAAATGAATTCTTAAATTGCCACAAAGCAATTGATGTGTTTTCTGTCTGCAGTGACCGCTGCACAAATCTTGTTTTGTTTTGTACATAAACTTTCTGAATACATCACATTAAAGGTTTGTCTGTGATTCGCAGCACCTCCTGGAGTCAAACTATTGACAGATACAGTCGGAGTGCTGTGCTGCAACTCTGGGTATTTGCCCAATAGGGCTGAGCAATAACATAAAATCGGTTCTGATCCATTACCAAATAATACCAGGGCAGGAATCACTTATATTTATCCTATTATTTATTATTAAAAGCTGCTGCTGTGCTGTGACAGAGGGAGAAGCCATGTGTCGTGATATATAAGGTGACTACCTATACATCAATAGGCTACTTCTGAATACGTTTTTATTACCAAAGTGATTTGCCAAACATTAGGTATTTCTTTTTAATCTTTTATTACTTAATCATAAGAGAATTTGTTTAAGATTATATGTAATATATTGTATGAACTAACGCGGTGATCTCTGCATGCACGCACACAACAGCAGCAGAGAGTGCATGCACTAAGTAGAGTGTTCAGGGGCCCGGACCTTGATCTAATGTGAGACAGATCAGTGTTGGATTACTTCTATCAATACTCAAAACTTAAAACAGGACTTCTTTTTGGTAATTTATGTATTATTATATGAAATGTAGTCCCTTCCTGCTACACAGAACATATCAGAGAATTACATTTAGAATATGCTAACATATAAAATAAATCCATATAGGCCAAAACAGTTCATTTATATACATATATATACATACACGTATGCACCGAAGTTCTTCATTTGGGAAACGGTGTCCATCCACTGTGTTTCAGCACCAAGCACCAGCGATGTAAACACACGGATCTGCCCAGACTTAATGCAGACACAAACCCATCATTGCTGGAATGCTGTTGCTGTGCGATGCAATAAAAAAATCAATATTACAAATATTAATAAGACACTTTTATATCATAAAAATATACATTGTAAAGTTATGGTAAAAAATATAAGTTGATAGTTATGCAGTGAACTGTGTTCCCCTGTTACGCATTTCATCAAGAAAAAACTCTGTGTGTGAAATAAACCTTCAGTAATTTATTCTGGGAATTAATTATTGCTTGGAATCGTTCATTAAAACCAAAGAAGTTCTTAAAACAATAACACAATATAATCATGTCATCATGGTATGATACCACTGAAAGTAATAACTTTCAATTATGGCCCAGCCTACTGGACGCAACATCTTGAAGTTTACAATCACAAAATGCCCAGAGCTCACAAAAGTAAACTGAATGTGTTCGAAACACGGCTGCATGTGTCCAAGCACAACATAAAGGTTGTGCTTGTAAACTGGGTAAAATGCCATATCATATAGGGGTTCGCAGTCTGCTGTGATGGGCTCATTATATTAAGGTTCTTGTGGCCAGGGTTGGATATCGAGAACCGCTTCCAAGTTGGAACCATTGCAAAAATTTCTAAGAACTGTGGGTCAGTCTCGCTCCTGATTAAACGGCAGTGAGCGTTTTACAGGCCATAAAAGTTGCACTTACACGATGTCCGGTCACTTGTTACGCAGAATGTCAACAAAGCATTGCTACCCAGCTGTAGTAGCAACGTCTCACGCTCGGGTACAAAACACAGGTGAGCTGACGTTCACCTTTTTATACTGAAGGGAAAAGAATGATGTCTACAAATGAGACCTTTCACTTTAGACCTAAAGGGGAAGATGAGCAAGAGGATGAAGGTCACCGAGTGGTGACGAGATTTATAGTGAAGGGGTTGGAATCGGAACCGAGATTCAATAAGAACCTTATTCCATAATTTGAACTAGAATCTGAATCGATAAAATTGAAACGCTACTCAAACCCTACTTGTGGCTGAATGCCGGTCAGAAACCATATCCTCACCCAAACAAGAGGGTACTTGTGTGAAGTTGCAGTGAGCATGCTATTGAGTCATGTGAAGCTTTAAAAACGGATCCTTCAATGAAAGAGCTACGACATGAACCAGAGTAAATCACTGCGTGGAAAACAGATTTGCTTCTATCTCGGTTTCTGTTCGAGATCTTACAGATTACAGTTTTGTTATGAAGCATGACCCCTCCCTCACCGTCAGTCATTTCATCATCTGCAGAAAGACAAAATGTGGAAAAGCCAAAATGTAATCATAAAAAGGTTCACTACAATTTACATTTATAAACGTCAATAGCAAAAATATGAAGCTTTTGAAAGCAAACATCTGTGCTACCAGATCACTGTCTCTATGTAAAAGAGACAAAAACTAACAAACCCGATTTAATTCAACTGCAACATGTATCTATATAATGGCTGTCCATGATTTGGCTGTATGTGGTGGTGTTACTGCAGTCACTTACGTACATGATATCACATCTTTGTCCCTTTAATGGACTTGTTGCCTTTGTCACATTACTATAAACACAAGAAACCTTGTGTACTGCAGACTGTCCGTTGCCAGTGTGATGATCCAAACACAGCGATGTAGGTGCTCGAACAAAGAGAGAGGACGGTATGATCACACTCAAGCTCAGCATTGCATGAAAGCCAGGTTACAAACAACAGCAATGCAAAGTTCTGTTAAAGACAAAAAAGGAAAACTAAACCTGTCGCATCAAACACAGGTTGACTTTGAACTTTGGGTGGCTGTTGGCGAGCAGCTCAGAAATGCAACAGCTGACTGTTGATTTGCAATATGCAAGCTACTTCCTGTTTAGATTTCAGGAAACGTAAACAAACTGTATTTATGTGTAAGTTCAAGAAAAATATATAAATGCAAAAAAAAGAGAAGTAGATTTTGGGTCAGGGTAACGTTGGATAAGCCCAATAAATTATACAGAACAGAGACAAATCACAGAACAAAGATTTTACAAGAAGAGTGAAGCTGTGAAGCAGAAACAGTTTTGGTATGGTAAGTTGATGTTTTTGTTTTTCTTCTAGAGGTTGTACGTTATCTCATGTACTCTCTTGTAACCTCATAATGTTGGTGATGAACTCGTAGACGAGCTAGTTTACCATTTCATTAAATGCCCTCTCATCCATCATGGACTATTTGAATTTTGGAACTCAGTCCCTCACAGTATACTTTAAATATGGCACTGAGCACTAATCGGCCGATACTCTCATGTGTTGTTCAACAAAGTGTTTGTTAAATTATACATTTTTATCTTTATATATTGAAGAGTTAAAAATGTTTTTGAGTGATCTTGGCTTAAGATTTGAGAACGGAGGAATATAAACTGATGCTTATGTCCTTCTTTTTCATGATAGATGTGATATCTTGGTATAATAAAGTGTCTTCTGTTTCTAAAAGTCACAAGATAACAAAAGGTTTTAAAGAAAATCAGAGGTATAGCTCTATTTTAAGGACAAATGTGCCCTAAAAGGATTGAAAGTTGTGTTAAAAAAAAAAAAAATCTAGCTTGGCCTGTAAGCCTCGGCTCACCAATATGGCGTTTTTTTTATTCCTCACAGTTGTCTTTTTGTCTGCAAGATTTTTCCAAAATGGCAAGTAGACTGTGTGCGTTAACTGCCCACACACTAACACACCACAATACATTACCATCACCTGCCTTTCTCACCTGTTACCACTACCTCCCCAACCAGCCCTTACAGGATCACTGTGTCATACTCTGCTTTAATCAATCTTTGAATCTTCTCCTAGGCTTTTACCTTCTCTCCAGGCTGGCTTTCTGCTCTTAAGCCATCATTTGGGATATTGCAAACCTGGGGAAGTCCACAGACCGTTAATAGTCAAATTGTAGTTGGAGGAAATAATGATTTGAAAATACTAATAATTTGGGAGATCATGGGGGGAAAAGCACCAAAGAACATCTGTTTTTAGATTTGCTTCAATTTGTGTAAAGAATAAAAAGGTTATCTGAGACCTAAAAGAAAATACTCAACACCCATCCAGGGATCAACGGTGTTAATGATTGGGTTGGTTAATTGACACACAACCAAGTTATGTGGTGAAATAAAATGGGTGCACACAAGTCACTTAAAGGCTTGGTAGAACTTTAGGGTAAAAATTTTATCAGCTTGTAAACATAAAATGACAAGGTCTTTAAACTGGCCTCTTGTCCCCGAGGTATGTTCAAGAAACTCTGAACAAGGTCAAGTAGGGGTTCAGGACAAGTGCCAAAAGAAGAAGGGTGGGTTTAACTCAGAGTCTGAGAGTGAAGGTTACCCACAACCCATTGAGAGAAATCGCTGTCAGCACCTGCCTTCAATGCGTGTCGTTTCTCTCTTCCTCCTCATCAGAATGGCCGATCGTGGAGGATTCAGTAAGTTTGGTGGTAAGTGACTAAAATAGACTTGAGCACAAGAAGGTTTGTTGGGTTTTAAAGAGTCAAAGCTAAAAAAGGAGGGGACACCAGTATACTTACAGCATGAAGTGGGTAAACATGTATAATTAACTTCAAGGAAAATTCTTTTTACGCTACTGAACTGATTATTACAGAAAAAGTATGTGTAGCCTTTTGAGATTTAATATGACATATTTACAAGGTAGAGTTTGATGAATAATGTTGAATAAGTGTTCACCTTGCAAGTAGGAAACCACAGAGTGCTCAGGTGTATCAGTGCTCAGTGATTGCAAATATCCTGCAGAGGGAGGTAAATGGTACATCATGGCTTTATGTATGTACTTCTTCAGCAACTCTTATCTTGCGGCTTTGGAATATGTCTTACCAGTGTTCAGAGCTTTTGTCCATGAGTCATAAAACATGCAGTGGTTGTTGGGGTAATGTGTCAAAACCATCCAAAGCAAAACATAAGGTATCAATAGGTTTGACACCATGATTCAGATTTTTGTGCACATGATGCAGGTTGTGTGTCACACATGAATGGATGAGTTAACATTTATGTGCATGAGGTGCAAGGAATTTAGCCCCATACAAGCATGACTGTGCAACTTGTAGAAACTCGTCACTTGTAGTTTCCAGAGATGAGTCAAAAACTGATTTGATTGCCCAACTGTGGAATGTTGTCAAGTGATAAGGTCCATGTTGTGCTATAAATGGAAAGAACATTTCTCAACAATGGAACAATAGACCAGCTTGTATTAAAGTCACGTGACTCCTTATTTTAATGATAAACCACGCCCAAGGATTGTTAATCACACAGTTGGTTTATTTAGTGTGACTGTATATAGTTCATGTTTGACTTGAGGTTTACTTGCAGGTCTGTGACAGATTGATACTTGGTATTTACCTTGACTTTATTTAGCTTAAAGTTGCTTTTATTTATTAAACAAAAATTATAAACCTGCAGGGTTGATGCTGGTGCAGTCGTCTTGTCAGTGGCATCTATAATAGTTATTTATAGGGGTAACGTGTTGCACAGTATTCATTTTGTAATTCTAATATTTAATTTAATTGAAGTACAACAGGGTCTGATGTTTAATTATAAACTACCCAGTGATCCAAGTAATCAAAGGTTTAATTTGTTACATATGCCAACTATGTGTAGTTAATGTTTTGTTAATTCTAATAATTAGGATAAAGGTACAAATAACAATTAGGTAAAAAAAAACTGGGTAACTTCTGTTATGATTTGGCGTTATATAAATACAAATGAGTTGAATAACAAACCTCTAATTTAAGTATTACATGTTTGTGTATATTAGCCTGGTGTGTAGGTGGTGTAAGCATTTTTTTTCAGTGTATAAAAAATGTAAACTGCACATGCGGTGTGTCACAGTTGTAAGGCAAACTATGCAAAGAACTTTGTTACTAAAATGCAAAGGATTAACAGAGGCCAATGTGCTTGACAAGGCAGAGGATAAACAGAGGTCAGAGGTCACCAATCCTGATGGTCTGAGCAAAGAAGCTTTTTCTGAGCCTCTCTGTGTTGCACTTGTGGCTACTGATGTATTTACCTGAGCGTAGGAGATGGAATAGTCTGTTGCTGGAGGTGGTTCATTCATTATCCTACTAGCTCTGGTTCTGCACCGTCTGGTGTGCAAGTCCTCTAAAATGGGGAGTGTAGGTCTAATGGTCCACCACTTTCTGTAGGGCCTGATGGTCCTGAGCAGTTTCCAGACAAGTTGGTGCTGCCTCCTGTTCGGATGCTTTCCGCTGTCTTTAGGGCAGAGAGACTCTTCAGCTAATCTTACCTTAAACAAAAACCCAAACATCAATAATTAAAAAGCTTAACAGTGACCGTTTCTAATGGAACAACTTTAGTTTTTTTGTTTGTTTGTAGTTTTAGTTTAAAGCATTTGTTGAAATTATGGGGAAACGGTGCAATTGTAATGAAAAATCTACAGAAATATAGACCTGCGACACTGTTTCCTGTAAATATCAGCCATGATGACAGGCTGTGCCACCGTAGTACTTCTTCCTGATCAGTTTAGTGAGTATCAGTCTTTGGGTAATCATTCTTTTTAGTAGCCTCTGTGTTGCTGCTGAAAAGGGTTTGCCTGGTTTCACTGTCACAGGCCAGATTCATTACCTAAGTGGGTCAAATGTTGAGGTAAGGGTTTGGCTCTGGCTTCTGATGACATTGTCATCGAGAAGGGACCAGTTCCAGGAACTCTGTTAAATGAAAGCTGCAGGTGATGCAGCTTTCAACCAGTCTTTCCGAAAAAGGGGACAGGAATTAACACACCTAAACATTCCTAAAGGTGTTTCCGTTAACCTCTAAAAACTTCAACATTGGAAGTTGGGTTTATGAATGGGTAAAGTGTGCGCAAATGTTGTACTGCAATAACGAAATCTCAGAATGACAAATGGTGCTGTTATGTACACGATGTATGTTGGGGCATTTTCCAAGAATCCCTTGTTAAGATGTGGGACAACCAAGGTAGACACAGTAATGAATGAATGAATGAATGAATGAATTACATGGGTGACCGGGTCGTTGAAGGTGTACATACTCAAAACAACAAAGGGATTGTGTTGCAATACGTTGGAGTTGGTAATGTTTGTGTGAAAGGAAGGTACTTATAGTGGGTTAAGAAATGCATCAACACAAATACATTGACTTGTGGACTGTTTTTAAACCTCAAAAAGAGCCCGACATGCGTGCTTCTGCATGAAGTGTCATAGAAGTATATTGTGGTTTCTTGGCGGATCAAAGAAACAACCACTTCAATGAAATGGTATACTGTGAGAAGTATGGTGCGATGCACAATATCAACTTGCAGGAAGGATCTCAATAACGCGGGCAATCTTGTTTTGTGTACGTGTTTGAGAGAATGCCGGCTGCTTACTGTGAAGTGGGGTAATCATGAAAGATGTAATTGTATAATGACACTGCTAAAAGACAGGATGGTAAAATGCCAGGTTTATTATGTGACAAGCTGTCACAGCAAGCACTAGGGTGTAACGATTACTCATCTGAAACGAGTGTCAGGTACTGATAATATACTCTTAGTGAGTGGAGTATAATCGGAGTAAAATGTGTCTAACTGTTTTCTAATAAACAATACTTATAGGAAATTTTATTTAAAAAAACTTGGAGGTAAAAAACTTTTCTCTGAAGGTCAATTCTGAGGCTGTTCTGGAAATAGTTTTCTAATTAATATAGGGGTGGTGATGGCGCATAGATAAGATACTTGCCTTTGGTGTGGGAGACCTGGGTTCGATTCCCACTGTGAGACATCCACCATTGTGTCCCTGAGCAAGACACTTAACCCCTCGTTGCTCCAGAGGCGTGCGACCTCTGACATGTACAGCAATTGTAAGTCGCTTTGGATAAAAGCGTCAGCTAAATGTAATATATCAACTCACAACTTATAGTTAGTACTGCTCGTCTTTTTTAAGCCTTGCCCATTCTGGATAGGATCATTTAGTTGGTTAAACAGATAAAAATGTAGAAGTTTAATACTGGTTTTGTGTTGATTTGAGTGAGGACAGGAAATTAAATACAGTATTAGTAGTATTTACAGTTTGTGTGAGGTTTGTGTTTGTTTATCATTTGATCTTTTTCACAGCTAATTGCTGTTTTTTGTCCTCTTCAAGGACCAAGAGACCCGGGACATGGAGGACCCAGCTTCAGTAAGTTTTGAGTTGTTTTTGCCCTGCTAGCAACAAGACCTAACACAGTGTCCACAACTGACATTTTTCAGTCTCACTGAATAGATGTGCTTTGATATAACAGAAACTATTAACCATATTTCCTTGACGTTTATCATGTACTGTCTATATTACCAAAAAACAGATTTATGATTCCCGTCCCGTGGATAATAATTGTCAGAAAAAAAACAGTGCTGAAAGGAGAGTGAACTTTATATTCTTCTAAGCCAAAAATATCAGCTCATGCTGCCTAATACCAAGTTAATATAAATAACATATTTGCATTGCTTTGTTTTAGTGCCAATCAGTTATAGTAGTCAGAAACTGACCTACACAGAGTGATAGAACGGGTGAGATGTCCAGCGTTAGCCTCTTATTGCTGTCTTAACATCTCTTTTTGTTATTATCCAACAGTGCAAGACCAGGATAACTCTGATAATAACACCATCTTCGTGCAAGGCCTGGGAGATGACTACACTGTTGATTCGGTGGCAGACTTTTTTAAGCAGATTGGGATCATTAAGGTATCTCTCCAGTGCTACAGCATGTGTCTCATCAAGCACTGCCTGTATTTGAGCAATTTACAAGTTTCCCCTGACATTGACAGTAATTACACAAACACTTTGGTGCTCATGACAATCTATTCCAAATATCATTTCAAAATCAGAAACTTTATTAACATTTATGTTGATTAACCAACTTACCGTTCCTGTAAAATTCATGCAAAATGCCTATTCAAGGCATATCCAAAGTAAATTCAATGTAGTTATTGACCCATTTGGAGTAAATGCATGGTTTTGGGCTTTTCTAAAATATAATAATTTAATTTTAAAAAGAAAGTGTTTCTGCGTTAAAATGCTTGCTAACAAATGCATGTAGACAACTACAGCTGGGACTTATTAGCTGGAAAACACTGTAGGGCCACAGCATAAAGCCTCACCTAGTCTAAGTTTAAATTTTATATCAATACCATGAAAAATGACTATTTTCCACAGGTTTTTCTGAATGTATGTCTTAGCGTTTTTTTTTCAAAAACAGCACCGCCCCCTGGCGGCAGGCGGCTGTATTAGCTGGTAGCTTGAGGCAAATGTGTTTTTTTGCTGGTAGATCATGAACTTCCCACTTAAAGCTCGATATCGTTATTTTCAGAATTTTATTGGCTACAAGAAGTGCCAGTCATCGGCACAATTTGTTGCAACTGGTTCGGCCTACCCACGAAATAATAGGGGCTGGCCCTTCCTTACAGCGCGGGCTCTCGTTGGCTGTGAAAGGGACATGTGAGCTGCTATTGGGCCGGATTTGGTGTCACTTGAAAGGTCAGAGTTCAGCGGCCAATTTGAATACAAGATATCGTAATTGTTTACATTCAAATTGGAATTATTACGATTATAATGACATACGAGCCACGTCTGCCGGCAACAGTAGTCCCTGGGGATTTATTAATGGAATAACGTGTTTTGACTAAATGTTTTTACTAGATTGGATCACCTGAACCTTTGACAACGTAACAAGACTGTTTTTGTTGGAGTATAATTGATCGGTGGATTAGGATGAGACTAAGACAATAATTTTTAATCCAATTTAGGTTGATTCGGTAACATTTATCCAGATCAGTGTCCTTCAATCGCTCTCATCCTCAGCGTCATACGTGCATCCAGTTCATGTAGTGATTTCGACATTTCTTCTAATTTCATTGTCAGACCAGTGGTTACTCTCAGCAGCTCACCAGACTGCACCCCGATGGTGTCAGTCCTCCTCTGCGCTTCCACAGACCGGTCTGAGATGTTACGAAACAGTTCTGATCGGCCCTTTGATGTAAAACCTTCAGCTTGTCGTTCACCCCATTTAAGCACTCTTTAAGTTCCCCAGACAGCTTTTGGGTAAATTTAATGGCGGCTGTCTTACCAATTTTACGATATATTAGGGAGATTCCAAGAAAATCTTGTCAATAGCGCTGAGTGACCAGTTGATTAATTTCATTTTGATGGTTTCAGGAGAACAGCAGGCAGGTGTTCGAAAGAGAAAAGTTTCCACACGACCAAAGTAGACAGAAAATAGGAGCAAGCCAAGATAAGAGGGGAGAGTAGGAAAAGCACGACTGCTCTCTACAGTAGCAGGAAGAGGAAGTTAACTTTCAAGCGGTGTATCATATGAGTACAAAGTTAAGATATCAGTCGTGTGCACATACTGAAAGCTGCCGCCACCTGACCGCCCGCAGAGGCTAAGAGGTTAAAGGAAAAACCCAACCCAAAACACCACCCAACATAATACATTCTTTAAAGAAGAAATTCTCGCGTCCCAATTATTGATTAATTATGGCCTTTGAAATTCTGATAAACTTGCATCCAGGAAAGTTGGAAAAAAGCTTTTCTACAATCAAATATCTTACATCATTTAAATCTCTAAATTGCTATCAAGGCTGTCACGTGACCTAAATCAATCACTGCTTTGCCTCGGTTTCCTCCTGTCCATCTTCTTAGGTCAACAAGAAGACCGGCCTGCCCATGATCAACCTGTACACAGACAGAGAGACGGGGAAGCTGAAGGGCGAGGCCACGGTTTCCTTCGATGACCCCCCCTCAGCTAAGGCTGCCATTGACTGGTTTGATGGTGAGTTGAGAACACTGTCGAGCTTTGACTCGCTCATAAGTTCTGGTGTTTGCTGCTTGACGGCTTCAAAACCAGGTTTTAGTTGGAATGAAATGGAGAGTGTGGAACAAATTGAGCATGAAGATGGACAGCAGAGAAAGGAGTGGTTTGAAACGTCATGTTCGAAACTGTGCTATTGGAGTCTGTTGTAACTGACGGGAATGCAAGCTGATCGCAGCTGCTCTCCTCTTTAACGGACATAACTACAAACGTTTTACAGTTTTTCTTGTATTTAGCATTTTGTGAGCACATTTATTTCTTGCCTCAGCTCCTTTTGATTTCTGTCTTTCTTTGATAGGTAAGGACTTTAATGGAAATCCTATCAAGGTGTCTTTTGCCACCCGCAGAGCTGACTTTGGAGGCCGAGGTGGCATGAGGGGAGGTCGAGGACGAGGAGGTGAGCCCGTTTGTGAAGGTTGGCAATTTTTAATAGCACTTTTTTGAGTCCATTTGAGACAAATTCTTTTATTTATTAAGCCTTTATTCAACCAGGCTTTTCCCACTGAGATCAAAGATCTCATTTTCAAGAGAGACCTGGCCTAGCAGAATAGCTGCAACACAGAGTTTTAGTAAATTAACTGGCAAACACATAAAACATTTGCACACAGACTTGGACTGAGTATATTTCACAATAGATTTTAAATGATTCAGGATTACTATGCTTTGACCTTTTTTTTTTTTTTGTTTAAAGATCAGTCCATTGTTCCCTGCAGTAGGTGCAGAAAACCTAAAAACCAAAACACACTTTGGGAACAACATTGCAAATTGTCCAGAGAATGAAGAGTGTGATTTCTATAATTTAAGTTTAAAAGATAAGATTAGAAGAAAGGAATTTTGCCAAGAATGGCTCTGCAAATAAAAACATGCCAATGACTGAAGTGGTGCACGCAAAGCAGAACAATTCACTTTTGAATATAATACATGGTGAGTAAGAAAACCACCGTTCGTAAAACATCTCAGAGCCCCGTGATCCACGTTCTGCGGCATGTGAAGACAGTGAGAAGAAGCATTTATGTACAAAACATCCCCGTAATCAATAACAGGTAAAAGGACAGACTCCACGTAAAATCTTTTTCTGTGACATGCATACATTTAAAAGTAGATAAAAGCTCAGTTTGGTGACTATTTTTGAACTATTTGCTGGGACAATGCTGATCTTACTGTTGTTGAAGTAGTAAAGAAAATAAGGTTAGCACTAATTTAACACCTACGAGGACACAAACAATGCATCTGTAGTAACACTGGTGTCGCGCTGACAGAAGGGCTGAGTGGTTCCCTTCTTTGCTCTGTGAAGGGCCGATGGGTCGTGGTGGTGGATTTGGAGGGGGACGAGGTGGAGGTTTCCCAGGAGGCAATGGGGGCGGCGGCGGCGGTGGAGGAGGAGGAGGCAGCGGTGGCGGAGGAGGTGGAGGAGGTGGACAACAAAGAGCCGGAGACTGGAAGTGTTCAAACCCGTAAGTCGGGATTTGTTGATTTGTTGATCTGGATGGAAACGTGTTGTACAGCTACTGTGTTTCTGCTTCTATTCTACACAATCATAAAAACACGACCTTTTATTAAATGTTTGCACACACTGTGTTCATAATACAAGTTCATGCAAAAAGTAAATTTCATTTTTAATTAATAGCACTCGTGCAGCTCATAATGCAAAATATATCTAGAATGAGAATATTTTTAATTTTGTGGTTATTCATTAGTTTCTGCACATTTCTCTTCAGCAACTGTGGCAACCTGAACTTCTCGTGGCGTAACGAGTGTAACCAGTGCAAGGCCCCTAAACCTGAGGATGCTGGTGGGATGCCCCCAATGGAAAGAGGTTAGACCTCTGCAGTCCTTATATCTGACATGGTCTCGACATGGTCAAAAAATGTCACTTCTTCAATGATTAAATTAGTAATTCATTGATAACGAAGACAGGATTTTTCCTGCATAGAGCCCCACAAAGAGGTTTTAGCGAGCGCCAAAGGAAAATCACTGGCGCCAAAATGACCAGAATTGGGGGGGGTATCAGATATTCTCTTGATGTGTTTTATTTATCAAACAACTGTTGAGCAAGCAGAACAGAAACTTCTTGACTTCCACTTCCTGTCACTTCTCCTCTCATCCACAGCTTTTTGAAATTTTTTTTACACATGCAGCCTGTGCTGGATTAAATAAGCCAGCTGCTGCGTTGGTTTGACTTGGAAGCAGAGCTCGCGCTAATGACTTCCTGTGATTTCATGCAGCCGTGTGTGTTAGTTGCTGTCAAAGTCACTTCATGAACCAACCAATCACAGCCCAGGGGAGGCGGGGCATTAAAAAAAGGTTTAAGGCTCCACAGCAAACGTTAGAAATGCTGAACTCGTTGTTCTGTTTTTATTATTGACGAGTTAGTAATTTGTATAAACAAATGAGAGACTGACACCCTGAAATGTCTTTTAAACATCCTTTTGCTTTATTTCTTTTATAGCTTTGTTATGACTCACTCCACGGATAGCAACTCATAACTTGTAATAATACAATAGAGAAATATGTTATTAATTCATGAAAGCTCGTAGCGTCAGACTGCAGCTGTGCGGTTTGACTGCAGTGTGAATTCTCACCCCGGGGGCTGACATAGTGAAGCTGTCACTTTGTGTCAGCAGTTTACAAATTGTCACCTAATTGCTTGTTCTGCTGTCAGGAGGTTACGGCGGAGAGCGTCGAGGGGGGTTTGATCGGGGCGGTTTCAGAGGCCGAGGTGGTGACCGCGGCGGCTTCAGAGGGGGCCGAGGAGGCGACCGGGGAGGAGACCGTGGAGGATACGGCCCTGGAAAGATGGACGCAAGGTCAGACGCACTCAAACAAACGGCCCTCTTTGGCTGTCATGCATTTAGCTTGTAAGTTTAGAATGAGGCTATAAGTGATTCAGTGTCAAAGGAACCGAAAAACAGTGTTTCCCACATATTAGCTACGCTGTATATTAAAGGATAATTTCACATTGTCTTAAAACAATACCGTCCAGTTGTAGAAAAAAAAAAAAAAAGGTTTTTGGTGATTGTACCTCCCGTCCATACTGATGGTAACGGTTCTTAATGTGGTTCTAATGTAAGTGAGTGAGTTACCGTGTTGTACTAGTATATTAATGTAAAAGAACATACTCAAGTGTAAAGTACAGGTTCCTCACATTTGTACTTAAGTAAAATATTTGAGTAATCACACAGAAGGAAAACGGCAGGCACACAGCAGTGCCTTTTTTGGTTGAATTTAGTGCGCTGTGTGGGTTTTTTTATGTTGCTCGGCAACCAACTGCTGTCCTGTCAGTCAAATCAAAGATTATAGCGCCAGCGATCTGTAATCTGTGGTTTGTCGCTAAGTAATAACAAAAATGAACAGAAACTTGATCACAACTCACAGGTTTGTGTCTTTTGATGCTAAAAACATCTGCTTTAAAAACAATAGACAAAAGGAGGGCGCCTGCTCTGGCATTGTTTGAGGACAGTTTGTTGGAGTTTCTGGATAATCCAAGCAAGTGTAAACTTCCGTCACCACAACTGAGGGCCCGTCTCTCCATTCATCTGATTGGACAGTTGGGGGGGGGGGGGGGGGGTTCTGCTCAGAGCTGAATGTTTTTCAACTTCGTGCGCTCAAAGTGCTCCTTCAAAAAAAGGAGCCTCTCACTGCAAAAAACGTGTTCTGTCTGATGCGGGCCTAAATGTACTTACTATCCACCACGACCAAATATTATTTTTAGAATAATTTAGCTGTTTGACAGGGCCTTAACCCAGAGGGCTATGAGAGGAGACTGTAAGAGGTACATCAGTAATATGGAGCATTTTTGCACGAGGATATTGTCACATAAATGGTTTGAACTTTAAACTTGAACCTGAAAGTCCCTGTAAAGTCCCCTGTCAGCCCTGTACATCAGCAAACCTGTTTGTCCTGTAGATGTTGTTCATTGATTGGATGCTAACGATGTCATCGCTGTGTTGTAATTTTCCAGGGGTGACCACAGACAGGAGCGGCGGGGCCGTCCGTACTAGATCATCCGTCATAGGACAGCCCTCGTCCACGCTGCGCCCAGCCCAAACTTTCACCTTTTATATAACTCTGTTAACTTTGATCCACTTAATTCAGTGTGTAGACAATGTGATTATCCTGTGGTTTGTGTTTGCTCTAGTACATGTAACTCACTTCGTTCACGTCTATCCACATTCCCTTCTCGCTCAGTGGGGCCTCATTTAGAAAAAAACAATCAAATCTTTAGGGGATATAGGGAAATATTCTCACCAGCATCATCAGAATCAGAAATATAAAATATAGAAGAATAACGATTAACACTTCACAACAAATATGTGCAATATGCCGGGGATGTACAATGATGAGAAATTAAATAATGTTTACATGAGACAGCTGTATAACTTTACATGGTTCTTTAAACTAGTTATTACTTATACAGGGAAGATGTGTTTTAAGTCTCATTTACACCACATTTAATTGAATTATATTGAATTTTCAGGCGTGGGCCAAGGGACACGTATTTTTGTTTCTGGTGTGGATCCATTAAAGGGAATTCTTAGCATTGGGTGATTATTATTATTATTTTCTGCTTGAATTAACCAAATTCATGCGAGTCAAATTTAAAACTTTTAAAATTAAACACTGAGAAATGTATCACTAAAATACATTTTATAGATGAGCTGGCATTCTAGTTTGCAAGTGAAAACAAAGTTGTCCACCAATATATCACTGTTAATGTCAGAATTACATGTTTCTAATGTTGACTTAACATTTTTACAGTGTGTAATGGATGAATTAAACCGCCTTTGTTTTTACTTATCAACTTGAGGATTTAAAAACTTGTCTGTCAGTCAGCATTTAATGAGTAACAGTTTTCCAAAAGATAGTAATTAGGTAAGCCAGAGCTGTGGGGATAAGTATTAAAATGGTTTAATTATTTTAAAATAACAAAATTATTTATTGAAAATAATTTGATTTCTTTATCTTCAATCAATTTCTGCAGTTTGTGCACAGAGGGAACAAACAGTGAAGGATGGAAGATCCTCTATAAGCCTCATGCAAGAACAAACTCTTACAAACAGATTAGTACGAGTTTGTTGCATTCACCAATTTCCACAAAGGAACCAACAAAGTTCAGGGGTGGTACAGGCCGGTCGTACATGTGGTGTATCAAGCTGTTCTCACTCCCAAAGCTTTAAGTACAGCAGCTTGGTCAGTGGCTGTACACCGTAGATGCTCCTCTAGTCTGGTCAAAGTCAGGTGACGTAGTGTAAAGATTGTGAAAAGCCCCTGTGGGGAGGAAGCTGGCTTGGTTGGACGGGTCCAACACAGGACTTTCACCAGGAGGCTGCTGTTTGTGTAAAAAAACAAAAGCCAACACTGGCTTCTAACTAACTTAAGTCACATAACTTGTGTAACTAACAACTTATTTCAGCCTAAACCAGGATCTCACCGAACATGCGCCATAAATTATGGACCACTTTGCTTTAAATAGTAAAACTTTCAAACCATCTAACTTCTTGTCAAACCATTCTCAGTTTACGTCTTGAATCTCCGCACTGTGACGTTCTTTTTATTCATGGTACACGTGTATGAATAAAACAAGTCGCCGTGATCATCAAATCTCACAGATGCAGCTGCTACTCTTGAGCAGATGGTCTTCATCGAGTAGAAAAGTTTGTGCAGTGAAGTGAGTTTGGTGAATCCGACTTCAGGCAGGTTTAGGATAAAAATCTGGAAATGTTCTTGCACAAGGCCCAATCTTATTTATTTTTATTTTTTTTTAAGGTTTGTGAACAGGTTTGACAACAGAAACTGAACTAATGCCACTCCTGCAGCTTTTTGTTTTCACAAACACAGAATCCTTTAGTTGTTTAGGGTTTCCTGTGTAACATTAGTCACCTGTCAAAATCTAATTGGACCTGCGCCAATCTGTGTACCAATGTGATGGCAAATGGTCATAAGACTAAATGAGGCCTCATGTCTGCAGATGTGATTAAGATGTTTTTGTTGTGACAGAACTCTTACTAGGGGTTATTATTTATGACTTGTTTTTTTTTGTACTGTGCATGTGCTGGTTTTAAAATTAAAGTGTTGTAAAAACCGAACGATGCATCTGTGGTCTTTATTGAATTGTTTTTGTGCAGCTTTCAAACTCGTGGTTGTACAGAAAGTTTGAGATAGAACCTGTAGACGTGGTTAAAAGGAGACTCGGCACCTGAGAACAGTCAGTTATTAAGACGTTGACTGTGAGTAAACATTCCCTATCGGGTTTGTGGTGGTCTTTGGCTTGCAAGCTTCCCCCCTTTACTTTCAAACACAACTCAATTCAATTCAACAACTGTATTTATCCCCGTAGGGCAATTCAGTTTCAGTCTATCAGTCGTATAAAAACAAGAACAACTGCAACAAATCAAACAATAATGATGCCAAAATGCTACTTGCAAACACCAGAGAACAGTTCTCCAAAAAGCAAGGTTTTTGTTCCCACGTGCAGTTGCAAACCATAGCCTGGCTTCTTTATGGTGGTTTTGGGTTACTGTCTTCTTCCTTACTCAGCAGTCTTTGAGGTTATGTCGATAAACGACTCGTCTTAGTGTAAATAAAGATACTTTTGGATGTGTTTGCTCCAGCAGCTTCACAATGTCCCTTGCTGTTCTGGTTCAACTTCAACTTAGCGTATGTAAATATGGCCTGCTGTGATGTGTAAGTGAAATAATCTGTCTGTAAACAATTGTTGGAAGAATGACTTGTGATAAACAAGGTAGATGTCCTAACAGACTTGCCAAAACTATAATTTGTTCTCATGAAATCTTAAGAGAAAAATGAGTTTGAATGACTTCGGCCTCAGTGCATGTAAACCTCCGTCTTCAGCTGTAGGAAGCTCTGGGTAGTTTTGAAAGGTTGTTTGCTTTGGAAACTGGGTTATGGGTCAAGTTTAATTCTTCATAATTCTTAGAAATGTGTTTTTATATGAAAGGATGTCTCCTTTTAAGAACGATCTCCTTTGTGGAACTGGTACAGTTTCCTTCCCGCCAGCAATTGGCTGATGTTTACCTTTTGATAAACGTGGTTATTTTACTGCCACTCCTCTTCAAACTTGGCACACTGTTCAAGTTCACAGATCAGATTGATTTTAAGTATTGTAACATGTTAGTGTTTCATACATTATGTAGAATGGAAACGCAGGCTTAATTTTTTCTTTTACTACATTTATGTCCGAACCATTTGAGCAAGTTCATTAGGTGTTTTTTCTGTCAGGTGAACGAGTGGCTACAGCTGTTGTCTTGACAAAGAACATCCCCTAAATCCACTTTAGTTTAGTGGTTAAATTTAAAAAAGGTTAAACAGAGACAGTAATGGCCCCAAAATGAGCTATTTGCAGGTTTATATATAAAAATCAGGCATAATTAAATTTCCACTTGGAGGAGGATTTTTTTCCCCCTGTCAAAATAACACCTTCATTTAGACAACACTTTACATGAGTGCTATCTACTACACTTATCAGACAGTATCGGATTTGCCCAGTAATTTTCAGAAGGAGTCTGGCCCCTCAGAGCCCTTGTTTGGTTCCACGGCTGAATACGAGTAAAAGAAACCAATTAATTAAGCATCCCTACGATCTTCTGTTTTATTTTTAGTGTTTTATTCAGGTGAACGTAAAACGATCCTACAACTAGAGACAAATCTTGTGATGGGTTCAGACTAGCTGCGACGCCCGTCAACATGCTGACATGAACGGGGTACCGATGATGAGTACTGGGTAGTCATGGGTCTGACCACACCCATCCTCGAACACGGCCTTGTTTTTGATCTCAAATATACACCTGTAAAGTTTGGTGAATGCATCTTGCACGGCTGTGACACTGTCAGACATATAAACACCTGGCAAAGCACTCAAAACAGCGTTAAAAGTGTTTTTTACTTATTACATTACTTAAAGAAAAGCCAAATAATAATAATCAAGCCACTTGTAGTGAACTGAATCATACTAATTAGAGGAGTGGCTGTTTTATGGGACTGGAGCTTAACTCCTTTTGCCCAAGTTGCCCAAATGATCAACAACACTTTTGACCGTGGGTGTCAAATAACGTATATAAATATAATGCAGTTTTTGGACAATGCACATTTTTTTTTGTCTGTATTTAAATTGTATTGCATTTTTTCTTATTGTGCAAATAAACCTTTCTCAAAGCATTTTCATTTGTTAGTTAAAATCTTTCTGTGCAAGATATTTTTCAAAACATTTAACGTAAATGGCACCTATGCTTTTGACACACCCAAAAAGTAGCGTGACTGGGCCGTTCACCACCTAATCTGTCCTCAATCACGGCATGTCATTGTGTGAAAGCTGCAACAGCTGCAGGAAACCTTCCTGATCATGAGAAAAATCCAAACTCAACGCAGAATTTGCATGCTGCTCCATGAATCCATGACCGCACGCAAGCAGCAAACATGAATCCAGGATGACAGCGTTCACCAAAGGGCCATCATGTCACCATAAATATCCAGTAAATCACGATTGATAGCTGACGGTTACTCGTTGGATTAGTGTCACTTTGTATTATCTGAGGGCACGGATGGGTAATTGACCTCACAGTGCTCTTATTGTGAGTTGTGTAATGGATTCTGTTTCATTGATGTATATATTTTTGATTGATTCAAGTCTCTGAACTACTGGAGGGATGAAAACCTTTCGTTCTTTGAAAAGATACTCCCTCGTTTGGCGTTAGATGATGGTGGTGGAGAGAGCTGTCTGACAAGTCAGTGCAAAATCTCCCATATGGGTTCAGTTGAGTTGAGATCTGGCGACGCGTTTTGTCTAACGCACATAACTTTCACTCTCGTCAAACCACTTAGGGAGCCCTCAGGGGCCTTAACATCCTGGAAGAGACTCCCATCAGGATAGAAACGTTTCATCTTAGGGTAAAGGCTGCAGCGTAGTCTCTGTGAGCCCCCTTTCTTGTTTAAAGTTTGAAATCTCACCACATTTCTCAACACACTGTATCCTACAATGACTTTACAATTGGCTAAGTTTGTTATGGGTATCGTGCTTAAAAAAACATTATCATTTTTTTTAAGCATTCATCATTCCCAAGGTATAAGACAACAAATACCACACCATAGCCCTACATTGAGAAAATGCTACTATACTGCATAATAAAAGACAAATGAACAAGACTTCACTACAGTCATGTTTCATTTGCAGAAACAAGAAGACAAAAAAAAAAAACAGCTTTCAAATAAATGACAAGTTCAGGTACATTTAATCTTTGTGTCCAAGCCCACAGTGTAAGTTAATGGTTCAAAGGCATGTAGGCCTAAAAGCAAAATACTTAAAACTTTAGGAAGTTTAATTTATGATGCTCATAATAATTTATGTTTTAGCCTACAATGCAAATATGCATCGAGCTAGATTCCTGCCTTCAATCTAAACTACTGATATTAGCTTAAACCATTCTTTCTTGTGAAAGAAATCAGTTAGCAGCTTTTCTGTTCTTCTTTGGTACCTTGATTTCATTTTCTAAGGGACAGACAAGACTGTCACGAGGCATGTTGATGCTCCGGCATGAGCTTCACTCTGCTTCGTTAGACCATTCAGAGCTGAATCCCAGTGCAAGGTGGACTAGGGCTGTTCCCGAAATAAGGATTTACATAGTCAAATCAGACTCTGAGGCTTTTTGAAGATCCTTTTCTCTCTCTCTCTCTCTCTCTCTTGCCTGTCATTCACCGGTCTTGTGCAGAGTTTTGCATGTATGTCGTGCTGCCAACAACAACATGCATGTCGCGGTTCCTCGCAGGTCTATTTTAAGTAGCAGTCTCTTTCAAAATGATAAAATATTCTTGTGTGGTTCATCAACGGTGATAAATTATCCAAAAGTCCCGCGAGATAAGGACAACTCGGCACAACACCAGCGACTGTGAGATTGACAGTCGAATCAGGTTCCGTCCATTGAATCTTCAACTTGGGATCAGCCCTACGGTGGACTAAAACATTTTGCCTTTGTCTTTTGGAAGGGGGCCTCAGAGCCTCCACTATATTTTAATTTTGGAGGGGGGGGGGTTTACAAAGTCCAGCCTCTAAACTGATTTATTCAGCCACGGACCTTTCGTTGACCTTTGTGTTCCCTCGCTCTCAACACAACCGGTCGAGGCAGATGGCTGCCACAGTCCAGGTTCTGCTCAGGGTTTCTATCTGCTGTGTGGAGTTTGCCATGATGACTCTGCACATTTGCATACCTACAGTCTTATCTGTAGTTGCCTTTCAGTAAAACAAACTTCATCGATGAGTCTGAATGTCTGCACTGTCTAACTGGAATATCCAGTTTTGTGACAAGTTTTGTTCCTGGAACAAAACACAATAATAATGAAAAAAATCCCCATAACCTTTAAGTTACGCACGTACACAGTATGTTTGTGTGCTTTTAAAAATAAATATATAGATATATATTTGTAATATTGTCTATATTTATATAGATTTAGATATAAGATAGATAGACACAAAATATGACCTCTTATGGATGATTTCATGTTTTATTGTTAAATATTTGGCTCCTCAACCATCACTCCAACCAGGATGGTGAGAAACTTGGTGTCATGGTTGACGACCACCTGTCCTTTTCAGACCTTATCGCCTCTGTCTCCCAGTCGTGCTGCTTTTCTCTATACAACATTAGGCCACCCAGCTTCTGGTACAGGCCATGGTTATCTCTCAGTTTGACTATTGCAATGCCCTCCTAGCAGGTCTTCCAGCTTGTGCGTTGAAACCCCTAAAAATGATTCAGAACGCAGCAGCGCGTCTGGTTTTTGATCAGCCCAAAAGGACTCATGTCAGTCATTCACTCTGCGACCTCCACTGGCTGCCTGTGGCCTCCAGAATCAAGAATGTGAGAGAATTTAAGTATTCCCTGGCAAGGTAAGTACCAGCTGGAGTCCAAGTACCTGCAAGCCAGCAAACGTGTGAGGCAGGGATTAACCCCTTAACGCCGTGAATTCACATCACACCACTTTCATTCAGACTGCAGCCGAGATAGCGTATGTATTCCACTAATACCTGTTTATGCATATTCAATACACACCCAGGAACATTTTGCAACCACTGGTTTCT